CTTTTTTATAAATACTTTTTTTAAAGGGAGAAAGTGTCAAATAACACAGCCATTTGCACAAATATGAAAACAATATAAATTTAGATCATAAATTGAGGAGATCTTAAAATGTTTCAGTTAAGTGCCTGCACCTGCTGTTGTCTCAAATTCAAATACAATTTTTCAGTTGGGCAGTTAGGTTCCTGCAAGAACCCCCACGAACTAAAGAGGTTCCTCGATTAACCCACCTCCTATGGGGTTCTTGGAATAAACTTTTGGGGGCATTTTTCAGTGCCGAGAACCTTAAGGCTCTTCAAGGAACTTTGAGGATCTTAGAAGAACCCTTGTTGAACCCCTAATTTTTAGAGTGATATCCTGTACATGCCATACTGAATGTGTTAAATGCATTAGCACATCTCCAAAATGCAACCTTGAAATGTTGGCATAATCTACAACGATGGCACAAACTTTCCAATAGGTTTTCTCATTTTACATTTACATTTTAGTCATTTAGCAGACGCTCTTATCCAGAGCGACTTACAGTAGTGAGTGCATACATTTGAAAACTTTTATTGTACTGGTCCTCCGTGGGAATCAAACCCACAACCCTGGCGCTGCAAGCACCATGCTCTACCAACTGAACTACACAGGACTTCTCAGCAGCAGCAGCAGACTGACTACATGTCTTCTCTCCTCCGATGTACAATGTAGCGATTACCTTGTACCTTATGATTAATGAGAGAGATTAAGTTAATTGTTGAGTGAGAGGACAGCAGTGCTACCACTAGAGAACACTGAAAAAGGGTGGCGCTTAACTGAAAACGTTCATACCTGACAACCATACTATTTTTTTCTCCTTTTCTGCATGCTTCCAAAACTCTCTCCTGCTTATTACATACATTCTCATACATAGAGAGGCCTTATTATCCTCCGGGAGGTGCTTTGACAAATGTCGGCAATTGACATTGCATTTGCTTCATGTGTGACATGCAAAGATCATCTTTTGATTCTGATCTACTGTAATTTAGACAGATTTCAAAAAATGTTATTTTACTGATTTATCAGTGGAATAATGATAGTTTCCGTTGTTGGGGAGAGAAATTATATGTCATTACGAAGACTTTATGGAGTCAAACATGAAATGACATGCATTCATTTCAAAGGTTAATCAACTGAAATGGAAATACCGGTATGTTGTTTACTTGGATCAAACTAAATACTCTGTTATTTAATGTCCATATAATGTTCAAAACCAATGAGCAAAGAGGGGAAAGAACAACAATCGTTTAATGTGTTTGTCATAGGTAACTATAGCGGACTAAACTCCACTCCATGGTGATGGAAGTTTCTGATGAACTTCACCAATAGCGTGGAGCCGAGACCAGGCTTGGTGGAATCTAGCTCTGACTACATCGATACGTCAATACTTTAAAAAATGTAAATTATGAAACGCCCAACTTGTACCTATGTTTGTCCCTGTAGTTGCGTGCCTTTCTTTGTTTGCTGAAATCCATACTGTTTCAATAAACATTTATCAAATACCACCATCGACTATTTCCTTGTTAATTTTCAATTGGCACATGCGCATATGCGCTGAGTTGTCATCTTAGAGCAACAGCAATGACCAAACAGTTGGTCATTGTATTTGATTAACGTTTATTGAAAAAGTATGGATTTCAGCAAACAAAGAAATGCATGCAATTACAGGGGACAAACCATAGGAGGTTGTTGGCGGCACCTTAATTGAGGACGACGGGCTCATGGTAATGGCTGGAGTGGAATTAGTAGAACGGTATCAAATACATCAAACACATGGTTTCCATTTGTTTGATGCCATTCCATTTACTCCGTTCCAGCCATTATTATGAGCCGTCCTCCCCTCAGCAGCCTCCACTGGGACAAACATAGGTACAAGGTGGGCGTTTCATATTTTTTAAGTATTGACCTTGGGCGAATCGATATAGTCGGAGCTAGATTCCACAAAGCCTAGTCTCGGCTCCACGCCGTTGGTGAAGTTTATCGGAAACTTCCTTCACCATAGAGTGAAGTTAAGTCCGCTAAGGTGACCTATGACCTAAAGTAACACACACATCTATAACTGGAAATAGATTAGACACTTCCATCTCTTGAAATAGGTGAGATTGCTCTAAGTAAAGTGCAAGCGCTGAAAAACATCTCTCTAGTCTCTTTCACTATCTATTGGCGTAATCTATTTCAACAAGGGGATCCATAATTATGATCCAGATGTATTTGTGATCATGAAGCTGCAGAAATGATTATCTAATCTTGCCATTAGATCAGGGTAGGTAGACATTTTCTTTGGACCTTTGCATGTAAGCTGCACACCAGGGTCAACAGTCTGCACACCAGGGTCAACAGTCTGAAAACACCAGGGTCAACAGTCTGCACACCAGGGTCAACAGTCTGCACACCAGGGTCAACAGTCTGAAAACACCAGGGTCAACAGTCTGCACACCAGGGTCAACAGTCTGTACAGTGAATCATGTGTAGCTACCAGAGGATAGAAATGATGATTGAAATATTCACTGTATGCATGATGTCAAAATGTTTTCTAGCTATTTTGTATTTTTTGGTGTGAACAATTTGTATGAAATGTATAAATAAATACTGGGATTAAGACAGATGATAGTCTGGTCCTGTATGGCTCAGTTGGTAGAGCATGGCGTTTGCAACTCCAGGATTGTGGGTTTGATTCCCGGGGCCACCCATACTGTACACCGAAATGTATGCATGCATGACTGTAAGTTGCTTTGGATAAAAGTGTCTGCTAAATGGCATTTATTATATATATTACAATAGGCTTCACAGACAAAACACTTTGCAGATGTATACACTGACAGAGATAACATATCTCCATCAAAAAGAGGACAGTCTCACACTGTATCAGCCTTCCAAACAAACACACAGAAACACATCCTCTAAGAGGATTCATAATGGCTCTGTCCCTCTATTTTTTCAGAGAGGCTTACAATAATCAGAGTAATTTGTTGCCATGGTCAGCAGGCCTGAAATGATGGAAACCAACCATCCATCCACACATCCATCCATCTCGATGAGAGTCTAGCAGGGCTTTCATATGACATATGTCACATATTGGAGTTGGCATAATGGTTGAAAAAGGACTTTGTCTTCTGTCAAATACTGTAAGGTGGATACTGTAGTTACATCTCCTTATGCAATGCTATATATTTGTATACAGCTTGACCATGAAAATGGGTTGAGGTTCAAACTGTGATTGTGGATACAGCATTCATAGAGATTAATCTCTATGGCAGTGCCACTCGGGGACACAGATAACACATCTCAGGGTCTGATTCACCTATAAAGGCTTTGATTTCACTAAGAATGAAGTACTGTAAATGTATCTGTTGTGATGTCTCTATGCCTTAATCAGCTGCAAGCTGCCCCCAAAATACTCAAAGCTGATATGATGGAAAAGCATATATCTGCTGGTGTAAATGTATTACAACTGAGCTGAAGCATTAATGTGTACAAGGTTGAAGCGTAGGAGGAGAAGCATCAGCTGTCCTCTCTCTCTCTCCTAGCAACCACTAGTCTTGAGCTCTCCCAGCCTGTTACCAACATGCCAGCACACATGCTGTTCTAGGAACACTGTTTAGAATATCCACAGTATTTCTTACTGTTCTAAGAATACTGTTTAGAATATCCACAGTATTTCTTACTGTTCTAGGAACACTGTTTAGAATATCCACAGTATTTCTTACTGTTCTAAGAATACTGTTTAGAATATCCACAGTATTTCTTACTGTTCTAGGAACACTGTTTAGAATATCCACAGTATTTCTTACTGTTCTAAGAATACTGTTTAGAATATCCACAGTATTTCTTACTGTTCTAGGAACACTGTTTAGCAAATCCACAGTATTTCTTACTGTTCTAAGAATACTGTTCGCAAACCCACAGTATTACATGATATAACTAACATCTGTGTCTTTTTATTTTCTAATTGAACAAATTACATAAATAGTGTGTGAAACATGATAGGCCTACCTGTAGATTCAAATTCACAGGCAAGATTGAACACTGTACAATAATTTATCCTATTTACTGCTTTACTGTAATGCTGTTATGGACCACCAGGAAGTTATCCCTGGGAGCAGGTCTGAGATCAGTTCCCCCTCTAGAATCACTCATAAGGACCAGCTAATAATAATAATAATAATAATAATTTGGTGTGTGCTTATACCTGTCCTATTTCACACATGTACAAGAGTGTATTAATATGCATGTGTGAATTGGAAATGTTTTTTTTTTGTGCATATCCCAACTACAGGTGTTGAATAGCTCATCTAATCATTTGTTTTGCCCCTGTTCAAAATATACTTTATTAAACTTTTCAAATTAGGTTGAATTAGCCATAATTAGGCACTTTTTGTTGAATTTCTACATGTGATTGTCCCATTGCCTTAGCCATAACATGAACTTCTAGATTTGGCTCTTGGCTCTAACAGAATGGAAGTCTAGTCGGTGGTAATATCTCAATTGAGTCAACATTTCGGATGTTTGAGAGGACAGCTCTCGTTCAGCCACAGTGGTACCCAAGCCTATAATTACACTTGTTTGGTTTGTTAAAGAGAGGATGAGGGGTAGCCTACCATCCATTTCACTCTTCGTCACCGCTCAACTCTCCTTTCCTCTCGCATCACCCTGGCTCACTGATGATGAGAGCTATCATCAGCCAGCCAGGCAGGAGGCGGGCTCTGATCACATCCGAACCTTCAAACATAACTGACGTAGGCTATACTTCATCGTCTTTCACCCTCTCAAATTGTTTAATAGATTTTTCAATATCTCTCTGGTTTCTATCATTCGTTTTATTATCCTAATAATCTCTCGTCATATTTTGCATTCATGACACGGTCGGAGATTTGAAGTTTTGGTTTGATATTCAAAACAGGCAGTTGTTTAGTGGTTAGACAAGTAAGTACATTTACTAACCTATGTCAAATCGGTATTGTTTTGACTCCCGGGAGATTCATATGAGCGCTCCACCAGTGATCCGACCGCCAAGTCCCCTGTCCCCGGGGTCCAATGGCATCTCTTTCCAGATACAGATCGGGCTGAGCCGCGAGCCCGTTCTTTTGGACTCTGTCGACTTCAGCCTCGCTCAAGTCCGGGAGATGGCATGTTCCATCGTGGACCAGAAGGTAATATCCTATCACTTCTGTACCGCCATCCTTATTATCGATTTAGTTGAAAAACATGTAAATATGCGCAAATAAGCCTAGTTATTAGTGATCTATTAACTTTTGCGTACATGTTTACATTCAGGTATACAGACTTCAGTCTATTGTATGGCGTGACATAATCCATACCACTGGGCACAGACGTCAATTCAACGTCTTATCCACCTTGGTTCAACGTAATTTAATTGATATGACGTGGAAGCAACGTTGATTCATCCAGTGTGTGCCCAGTTATTTCCGTTCCAACATGATAACGTTTCCACGGGCCCAAGTTATTGTAATTGGTATCGGTAACACATATAAAGTGCCTGGGTTGCACCTCTGTCATCCTCTGAAGCATGGGTGTTAAAATGTAGGCTTTTGATGTTGTCTAAGGGTTACAGTAGTAATAGTGACGTGACACTAGAAAGCAGAAACACCTTCTGTCCCAGGGTTATTAGTGTGTGAGGGGAAATGACACTATGTTCTTAATTAAGTAAGGAACAAAATATATATGAACTACAGGAGGTTGTACCTCAACACCTTTTCTAGACACATTTTATCACAGAGAGGTTCCCTCTCATGTATAGCTGCTCAGAAACACTTAACACTCATTTAAATAGTATGAAGTGAGGTGAGATCTTAAATGTGTGTGAGTGTGTGCGTATGTGTGTGTGTGGTGTATAAAGTGACAAAGCTAACAGTATGCAACAGGGCCTATACAGTGTGGATTATGAGAAAGTACATTTGATTTAACATTAGCATATCCAGGGATGGATCGAGTTCACTTTATAGAAGTTAAGATTTGGCCCTAAATGCCTACTATAAAGAGGCTAGAATTAGTAATCTAAAAGCTAGTTTGGCACGATGATTGCTCTTTCTAGGATAAATTACCTCCTTGGGAGTGGTTGCATCAAATGTTTGACAGCTTCAAGGTCCAATCAAAGTTTACAGCACTACTCTGACAGCTCTCTGGGCCTTCTTTGCCAACTTAAAGAAGTCTGGTGTACTGATTAGAATGCCTATTTATAGACCAAAATATAGAGATAATCTTACTGTGGCAAAGAGAGAGTTAGATAATTTAAGGGCAATGATGACATTGATAGTCATGTCCAAAGAGAAGTTCCTTGAAAAGGTCTTGTTATAGAATAGATGGACATGTCAATAACCTTTACTGTCCGTCTGACAGTCTGAAACTGATACTGATTCAGACACTGAGTGCGGTTACATGCACAGAAAAATTTGATTATTGTGTACAGTCAGATTAATATAATAGTTCATTAACATGTTTGCATGCTTTGCAAGAAGAACGATTTCCCTAATAATCCTGTTTACATTGACACATCTGAAATCAGGCTACTTGATGATACTCATATGCAGAAAATTGCCAATCAAAATAAACGTTCTACCACAGTGAACATGTTATTTTTGGGAAGCATATTTGATTCTGAGTTCAGACATATAGAGTTTGTATGTGAAAACTACTTCTAAAACGTATACATTTAGTTGTTCCGAACACACTTCACTCAAGCTAAAGAGGGAGGCTCTCGGCTGGTGGTAGCACATGCGCAGATCAAATACACTGCTGGAACGCTGATTAAGTGGTAACGTCCTAATAATCCGAAAGATTGCTCAGAAAATCAGGTGTTTTAATCGGCGTATGCTTACTTCGATTTTGACCTTATGCCGATTAAGATAAACAGACTAAGGTGTTTACATGACAATTGCATAATCTGCTTACTGCCATAATCAGTTTAATTTAGAATTATTAGTGTGCATGTAAACATACTCACTGTAAAGCTGTGCCTTTCAATTAAGTCATGTGGTTTTTATTACAGTTATACAATTACAAGCTGAACAAAGATTTACAGGAGTAATCTGTAGTTAAACAAACAGAGATACAGATGTAGGATCTTCATTTCAGCTAGTTTCTTACAGCAGGAAAATAATCCTGCAGCAATAGGAAATGTTAATTATTATGTGGATTATAATTAATGGAAATTTTTGTAAGGGTTGATACATTTTTCGTAAATGTATCATGTTGGACAGAGACACGAGGACAGGCAGTCACCTCCTTGACCTCTTCATCACTTCTTCAACCAGGATCTTGGTTCCCATCAAAAGGCTGTCTAATAGACCTAATATACTGTTAACAGGCCATCTCATTGGAATCCTGTAGAGCCAAGCGTTATCAGGACTAATTAAAAGGATGGCGCCTTTGTTTGAAGTTTTACCACCTTTTGACATTACCACTCTCTACAGCTCTTTTCATTCAAGTGTCCTTATTAATCAGTTGGCACCACGTTGGTTTCTCACAGGAAGTGCTAACTTCCTTGTTCAGTCAGCGTCAGTCCATAGGTAGAGCTGTGATGTGAGCAGTGATGACCACTTAGTGATAGGCGAAGCATCCATCCCACAAGTACTTCAACCAACCTCATCCACCTCCCTCCCTCCCTCCCCCCTCCCCCCTCCCTCCCTCCCTTCTTCTTCTTCTTCTTCTTCTTCTTCTTCTTCTTCTTCTTCTTCTTCTTCTTCTTCTTCTTCTTCTTCTTCTTCTTCTTCTTCTTCTTCTTCTTCTTCTTCTTCTTCTTCTTCTTCTTCTTCTTCTTTACACCAAGATTTCTTTATTTCTTCACCCACCATAAAGACTGGGATGCTTTCATAAATTCATACTGTCTTGAATATGGTTTGAGAAACAGAAGTAATGTATGAGATGTATATGGAGATAAAGATAGTGATTTTTATATCATGATGATAGCCAATTGTATTTTCTTTTTTCTCCATGACTGTGTACAGTATAGATCTGGTAGTGTTTAACTTTCATCCCTGGTCTTCTACAAATGAGAAACATTAAACAAACATGATCAAGTTATAGTTTACTGTACGTGTCCCCAAGATATTAGAAATGAATTAGCGAAATTATTACATTCTGTTGTCAGCTCCCCAAGGTTTGTCTCCTAGTTAGAGAATGGTCCCCCAGTTGCTTGGCAACTGATGATGATTGCCTGTGAAGTATCCATATGAGTGCCATTATCCTGATGAGAGCCATGTGCTGTAGGGTCACGTACTAGCAGACACACACACACACACACACACACACACACACACACACACACACACACACACACACACACACACACACACACACACACACACACACACACACACACACACACACACACACACCTACCTACCTTGGGAAGAACAGAACCGAAGATGAAGGTTGTGCGATGTGCATAGGCCATTGTGGAGCAGCTGTTTTGGAAAGCATTCTAAGCACCATGCACCTTTATTAGCATAAAATAGATGTTGTAGAGGGTCACCATTCCCTTTGAGGATCATAGCCCTTTTCTGCCCCTGCACTCTCATGAGTGCTCTCCCCTTAGTGTCGGCACCATAAAAGCCCTCTTTGGTCTCATCTGCTAATTAACTAGGATGTACAGTATAAACCTGTTGTGTCGACTTTGTGTTATCTAGTGTGTTCTTACAGACAAATATTCATTGGCTCTGGTTGCATCCTTTAAAGCTGCAGTCTGTAACTTAAACAACAACAAAACACTTGTAAACAACTGAGGGATGAGGCTGGAGAAATGTAACTGCACTCAAATTACATAGACGCCGTTATGGATGCAAGGACTGACCTTCCATGAGATGCGATACAGTGTTTGTTTACACTTGCAAACAATGGAGTAAAATAATATTATCTTTTGGGTTCTGATGGGGTATCATAACATTCTGATAAGATTAATAGCTATATGAAATTCCAATTCCGGATTGCCCCTTTACAATAGATGCTAGTGATGCTAGAGCCCTCCTCATTACAGAGCATTGTACTCATCCTCACCACTGAGAACAGATAGAGAAAGACACCAAAGTAATTTACCTCTGCCTGACTGTTAATTACTTTAGTAATTACGTAAACACTGCACGGCTCAATAATTGAAATTACTCAAATGAAACTGTGGTTTCTGTCAGTGTTGGGGGAAAAAGTTGATACTACCGCCCCGTAGCACTCACGTCTGTAGCCTTGAAGTGCTTTGAAAGGCTGGTCATGGCTCACATCAACACCATCATCCCGGAAACACTAGACACACTCTAATTCGCATACCGCCCCGACAGATCCACAGATGACGCAATCTCAATTGCACTCCACACTGCTCTTTCCCACCTGGACAAAAGGAACACCTACAGTACCAGTCAAAACTTTGGACACACCTACTCATTCAAGGGTTTTTCTTTATTTTTACTATTTTCAACATTGTAGGATAATAGTGAAGAAAAATACTATGAAATAACACATATGGTAACCATAAAAGTGTTAAACAAATCAAAATATATTTTATATTTGAGATTCTTCAAAGTAGCCACCATTTGCCTTGATGACAGCTTTGCACACTCTTGGCATTCTCTCAACAAGCATCATGAGGTAGTCACCTGGAATGCATTTCAATTAACAGGTGTGCCTTGTTAAAAGTTAATTTGTGTAATTTCTTTCCTTCTTAATGCGTTTGAGCCAATCAGTTGTCTTGTGACAAGGTAGGGGGGGTATACAGAAGATAGCCCTATTTGGTAAAAGACCAAGTCCATATTATGGCAAGAACAGGTCAAATAAGCAAAGAGAAATGACAGTCCATCATTACTTTAAGACATGAAGGTCAGTCAATAAGGAACATTTCAAGAACTTTGAACGTTTCTTCAAGTGCGGTCAAAAAAATGCATTATGATGAAACTGGCTCTCATGAGGACCGCCACAGGAAGGCCCCGAGTTACCTCTGCTGCAGAGGATAAGTTCATTAGAGTTACCAGCCTCAGAAATTGCAGCCCAAATAAATGCTTCACAGAGTTCAAGTAACAGACACATCTCAACATCAACTGTTCAGAGGAGACTGTGTGAATCAGGCCTTCATGGTCGAATTGCTGCAATGAAACCACTACTTACTAAAGGAAACCAATAAGAAGAAGACACTTGCTTGGGCCAAAAACACGAGCAATGGACATTAGACCGGTGGAAATGTGTCCTTTGATCTGGAGTCCAAATACTGAGATTTTTGGTTCCAACCACCGTGTCTTGTGAGACACGGTGTGGGTGAACGGATGATATCCGCATGTGTATTTCCCACCGTAAAGCATGGAGGAGGAGGTGTTAGGGTGTGGGGGTGCTTTGCTGGTGACACTGTCTGTGATTTATTTAGAATTCAAGGCACACTTAACCAGTATGGCTACCACAGCATTCTGCAGCCATATGCCATCCCATCTGGTTTGTGCTTAGTGGGACTATCATTTGTTTTTCAACAGGACAATGACCCAACACACCTCCAGGCTGTGTAAGGGCTATTTTACCAAGAAGGAGAGTGATGGAATGCTGCATCAGATGACCTGGCCTCCACAATTCCCCGACCTCAACCCAATTGAGGTGGTTTGGGATGAGTCGAACGGCACAGTGAAGGAAAAGCAACCAACAAATGCTCAGCATATGTGGGAACTCCTTCAAGACTGTTGGAAAAGCATTCCAGGTGAAGATGGTTGAGAGAATGCCAAGAGTGTACAAAGCTATCATCAAGGCAAAGGGTGGCTATTTGAAGAATCTGAAATATATAATATATTTTGATTTGTTTAACACTTTTTTGGTTTTGATGTCTTCACTATTATTCTATAATGTAGAAAACCCTGGAATGAGTAGGTGTGTCCAAACTTTTGACTGGTACTGTATGTGAGAATACTGTTCATTGACTACAGCTCAGCGTTCAACACCATAGTGCCCACAAAGCTCATCAGTAATGTAAGGACCCTGGGACTAAACACCTCCCTCTGCAACTGGATCATGGACTTCCTGACGGGCCGCCCCCAGGTGGTAAGGGGAGGCAACAACACATCTGACACACTGATCCTCGACACATGGGCCCCTCAGGGATGCGTGCTTAGTCCCCTCCTGTACTCTCTGTTCACCCACGACTGCGTGGCCAAGCATGACTCCAAGACCATCGTTAAGTTTGCTGATGACACAACAGTGGTAGACCAGGTCACTGACAACGATGAGACAGCCTATAGGGAGGAGGTCAGAGACCTGGCAGTGTGGTGCCAAGACACAACCTCTCCCTCAACGTGAGCAAGACAAAGGAGCTGATCGTGGACTACAGGAAAAGGAGGGCAGAACACCACGCCCCAATTCACATCAACAGGGCTGTAATGGAGTGGGTCGAGAGCTTCAAGTTCCTTGCTGTCCACATCACCAACAAGCTATCATGGTCCAAACACACCAAGACAGTTGTGAAGAGGGCACGACAACGCCTATTCCCCCTCAGGAGACTGAAAAGATTTGGCATGGGTCCCCAGATCCTCAAAAACTTATACAGCTGCACCATCAAGAGCATCCTGACCGGTTGCATCACTGCCTGGTATGGCAACTGCTCGGCATCCGATCGTAAGGCGCTACAGAGGGTAGTGCGTACGGCCCAGTACATCACTGGAGCCAAGCTTCCTGCCATCCAGGACCTCTGTACTAGGCGGTGTCAGAGGAAGGCCCAACATTTAAAAAAATATTCCAGCCACCCAAGTCCTAGACTGTTCTCTCTGCTACCGGTAACGGAGCGCCAAGTCTAGGTCCAAAAGGCTCCTTAACAGCTTCTACCCCCAAGCCATAAGACGGCTGAACAATTAATCAAATGGCTACCCAGACTTTTTTTTTACACTGCTGCTACTCGCTGTTTATTATCTATGCATAGTCACTTTACCCCTACCTACATGTACTTATTACCTAAATTACGTCAACTAACCTGTACCCCGCACATTGACTCAGCACCGGTACCCCCTCTATATAGCCTCGTTATTGCTATTTTATTGTGTTACTTTTTTAACTTTAGTTTATTTAGTAAATATTTCAAAAAAATGCGTTGTTGGTTAAGGTCTTGTAAGTAAGCATTCGGCGCATGTGACAAATAAATTTGATTTGATTTGATATAATATTTTTACGATATATCGTACCGTTTTGACAGTATTGCAATATTATTTTTGTGCTAGTTTGCTGTACCAGCACCAAAACTCCAGTATTTTTCCTTCATAGCTTGTTCTCCATCTTCTTTATAAATATGGAGCCAATTTGTTTTCAGCACTTTTATTTCCATGACTGATCAATGCTTGTTTCCTCATATCTCTCTCTTGTCACTCTGCAGCTGACATATGGAGCGCAATATGTTTGGAACATCGAATCACAATAAAATCACAGTATCAAATCACAATACAAATAGAATCATAATACAGTATAGAATCACAATACAAATCGTATCACCACATACAGTGAGGGAAAAAAGTATTTGATCCCCTGCTGATTTTGTACGTTTGCCCACTGACAAAGACATGATCAGTCTATAATTTTAATGGTAGGTTTATTTGAACAGTGAGAGACAGAATAACAACAAAAAAATCCAGAAAACCGCATGTCAAAAATGTTATGAATTGATTTGCATTTTAATGAGGGAAATAAGTATTTGACCCCTCTGCAAAACATGACTTAGTACTTGGTGGCAAAACCCTTATTGGCAATCACAGAGGTCAGACGTTTCTTGTAGTTGGCCACCAGGTTTGCACACATCTCAGGAGGGATTTTGTTCCACTCCTCTTTGCAGATCTTCTCCAAGTCATTAAGGTTTCGAGGCTGACGTTTGGCAACTCGAAACTTCAGCTCCCTCTACAGATTTTCTATGGGATTAAGGTCTGGTTCTCACCCAAGATTTGACGGTACATGGCCCCGTCCATCGTCCCTTTGATGCGGTGAAGTTGTCCTGTCCCCTGAGCAGAAAAACACCCCCAAAGCATAATGTTTCCACCTCCATGTTTGATGGTGGGGATGGTGTTCTTGGGGTCATAGGCAGCATTCCTCCTCCTCCAAACATGGCGAGTTGAGTTGATGCCAAAGAGCTCCATTTTGGTCTCATCTGACCACAACACTTTCACCCAGTTCTCCTCTGAATCATTGGCAAACTTCAGACGGGCATGTACAGTGGGGAGAACAAGTATTTGATACACTGCCGATTTTGCAGGTTTTCCTACTTACAAAGCATGTAGAGGTCTGTAATTTTTTATCATAGGTACACTTCAACTGTGAGAGACGGAATCTAAAACAAAAATCCAGAAAATCACATTGTATGGTTTTTAAGTAATTAATTTGCATTTTATTGCATGACATAAGTATTTGATACATCAGAAAAGCAGAACATAATATTTGGTACAGAAACCTTTGTGTGCAAACCTGGTCTTGACCAGGTTTGCACACACTGCAGCAGGGATTTTGGCCCACTCCTCCATACAGACCTTCTCCAGATCCTTCAGGTTTCGGGGCTGTCGCTGGGCAATACGGACTTTCAGCTCCCTCCAAAGATTTTCTATTGGGTTCAGGTCTGGAGACTGGCTAGGCCACTCCAGTACCTTGAGATGCTTCTTACGGAGCCACTCCTTAGTTGCCCTGGCTGTGTGTTTCGGGTCATTGTCATGCTGGAAGACCCAGCCACGACCCATCTTCAATGCTCTTACTGAGGGAAGGAGGTTGTTGGCCAAGATCTCGCGATACATGGCCCCATCCATCCTCCCCTCAATACGGTGCAGTCGTCCTGTCCCCTTTGCAGAAAAGCATCCCCAAAGAATGATGTTTCCATCTCCATGCTTCACGGTTGGGATGGTGTTCTTGGTGTTGTACTCATCCTTCTTCTTCCTCCAAACACGGGGAGTGGAGTTTAGACCAAAAAGCTCTATTTTTGTCTCATCAGACCACATGACCTTCTCCCATTCCTCCTCTGGATCATCCAGATGGTCATTGGCAAACTTCAGATGGGCCTGGACATGAGCTGGCTTGAGCAGGGGGACCTTGCGTGCGCTGCAGGATTTTAATCCATGACGGCGTAGAGTGTTACTAATGGTTTTCTTTGAGACTGTGGTCCCAGCTCTCTTCAGGTCATTGACCAGGTCCTGCCGTGTAGTTCTGGGCTGATCCCTTACCTTCCTCATGATCATTGATGCCCGACGAGGTGAGATCTTGCATGGAGCCCCAGACCGAGGGTAATTGACCGTCATCTTGAACTTCTTCCTTTTTCTAATAATTGCGCCAACAGTTGTTGCCTTCTCACCAAGCTGCTTGCCTATTGTCCTGTAGCCCATCCCAGCCTTGTGCAGGTCTACAATTTTATCCCTGATGTCCTTACACAGCTCTCTGGTCTTGGCCATTGTGGAGAGGTTGGAGTCTGTTTGATTGAGTGTGTTGACAGGTGTCTTTTATACAGGTAACGAGTTCAAACAGGTGCAGTTAATACAGGTAATGAGTGGAGAACAGGAGGGCTTCTTAAAGAAAAACCAACAGGTCTGTGAGAGCCGGAATTCTTACTGGTTGGTAGGTGATCAAATACTTATGTCATGCAATAAAATGCAAATTAATTACTTAAAAATCATACAATGTCATTTTCTGGATTTTTGTTACAGACCTCTACATGCTTTGTAAGTAGGAAAACCTGCAAAATCGGCAGTGTATCAAATACTTGTTCTCCCCACTGTATATGTGCTTTCTTGAGCAGGGGGACCTTGCGGGCGCTGCAGGATTTCAGTCCTTCACGGCGTAGTGTGTTACCAATTGTTTTCTTGGTGACTATGGTCCCAGCTGCCTTGAGATCATTGACAAGATCCTCCCGTGTAGTTCTGGGCTGATTCCTCACCGTTCTCATGATCATTGCAACTCCACAAGGTGAGATCTTGCATGGAGCCCCAGGCCGAGGGAGATTGACAGTCTTTTGTGTTTCTTCCATTTGCGAATAATCGCACAAACTGTTGTCACCTTCTCACCAAGCTGCTTGGCGATGGTCTTGTAGCCCATTCCAGCCTTGTGTAGGTCTACAATCTTGTCCCTGACATCCTTGGAGAGCTCTTTGGTCTTGGCGATGGTGGAGAGTTTGGAATCTAATTGATTGATTGCTTCTGTGGACAGGTGTCTTTTAAACAGGTAACAAGCTGAGATTAGGAGCACTCCCTTTAAGAGTGTGCTCCTAATCTCAGCTCGTTACCTGTATAAAAGACACCTGGGAGCCAGAAATCTTTCTGATTGAGAGGGGGTCAAATACTTATCTCCCTCATTAAAATGCAAATCAATTTATAACATTTTTGACATGCGTCTTTCTGGATTTTTTTGTTGTACAAAATCAGCAGGGGATCAAATACTTTTTTCCCTCACTGTACGTATCGTGATATTATCGTATCGTGAAGTCCCTGGCAATACCCAGTCCTAATGTTAGGTGTTAAGTACAGTACAACTGGATTATGTATAATAACTTCAATAGTTTTATAACACTGTGATCACTTCCTTGATATTTTCTAATGATCACCACGTTTGAATAAAAATGAATGGTTGATCATTGTCTTGTTATTCAAAACTGTTCTAAAATGTCAGTGATCTTTGTGCATATGACATTCTGTGAGATGGAATGTACTGTAACTCCTCACCACGCTCACAACACACATAGTTTGCATTCCAAATGGAACCCTATTCCCTATGGGCCCAGGTTAAAAGTAGTACACTATATTGGGAATAGGATGCCATTTGCGACACATCCATAGGCTACAGTACAGTACAGAACATTATACGGTAAACCTTCACAGTCAGAACTTAAACATTTTTAATGAGCACACTATAGACTAGAGCCTACAGTAGCAGAGCCAGTACAGTGTAGACCTACTGAGAGACTGCACTGGGGTGGTGTGGGCATGCCAGCAGTATGGCAGAGCTGTAAAATAGTCTCTATAAAGTGTGAAAATACAGCTATTAAGTTCAGAGATACTTGCAGATGTAGGATCTTAATTTGATCACCGTGTTGCAGGAGAACATTCCGGAAATGCAGGAAATGTAAAACTTGTAGTATATTTGAGGTTTAAAAAGGCTTCTGAAATTTGTCATTTCCACTTTGAAATTTCAGACTTGATTTTCCTTTATGAAAAATTTATCAACCCCTACAAAAATGTCCATTAATTATAATCCAAATAATAATTCACATTTCCTGTTGCTGCAGGATTCTTTTCCTGCTGTAGCAAACTGGATTTAATTTTTTTTTAATGCTGTACTTCTTGTTAACGTAATGTATGCTAATGTTCTGTTTTTGAGCTAATGCCCAATTGACTCCCATTCACTCCTTGAGGAGTACACTGCTTGTCCCAGAATCACCCAGAATGCAACGCGCGGCCCATTCACGACGTGTGGGCAACGCACACAATGGCCGTTAATACGATTCCAATTGAGTTTCCCATCTCCTAAAAAGTATCTCTGTTAAGGTGACAATGAGAAACAGTCTTAAAAGATAATTATAATTAAATACAGTGTCAAATTATTAACCAAGAACGTATTCTCTTTGTCGACTATAGTTGTGTCTGGGAGAAAGAGAGTAAGAGATTGGTAGCGAGTACAGTACATTAGAGTAGAGTCCATGTCAGATTCAGGTGTTACACATCTCAAATGCTTGTTAATTAGTGCAGTGCGTACTGCATAAGATCAGTTTCATATACATACAGTATACATACAGTGTACATACAGTATACATAGTTATTCAGCTAAGTGAGTGAGCACTCCAGACCCTTGGTTATTCACTGTAAAATGAAAAGTACAGTATAATAACAAGTAGGAATTTCATTTACAGTGAGACACGTTAATTGATTTTGTTCCAGTAATTAGTCTTCACAATCAACAATGATTTACTTTCTTTACTGATCATGGACACCCACCCATCATACCCCATGGTACCTATTATTTATCAGCTATCTCCCTAGCTTTCATACCAGACATTCTCTCTTAATGCAAGTGTTCAATACTAGGGTTGTAAAATTCTGTTAACTTTCCCCAAATTCACATTTAATACAGGTTAGAGGATTCCAGATTTCCTGCTTCCGAATTTTCCAACCAGTATTTCTGAAAAACCTAGGAATTTGGGGAAAGTTACTAGAATTTTGCAACTCTATTCAAATACAGTGCATTCGGAAAGTATTCAGACCCCTTGACTTTTTCCACATTTTGTTACGTTACAGCCTTATTCTAAAATGGATTAAATCATTTTCCCCCCTCATCAATCTACACACAATACCCCATAATGACAAAGCAAAAACATTTACATAAGTATTCAGACCCTTTGCTCAGTACTATGTTGAAGCACCTTTGGCAGCGATTACAGTCTTGAGTCTTCTTGGGTATGACGATACATGCTTGGCACACCTGTATCTGGGGAGTTTCTCCCATTCTTCTCTGCAGATCCTCTCAAGCTCTGTCAGTTTGGATGGGGAGTGTCGCTGCACAGCTATTTTCAGGTCTCTCCAGAGATGTTCAATCGGGTTCAAGTCCGGGCTCTGTCTGGGCCACTCAAGGACATTCAGAGACTTGTCCCGAAGCCACTTCTGTGTTGTCTTGGCTGTGTGCTTAGGGTCGTTGTCCTGTTGGAAGGTGAACCTCTGCCCCAGTCTGAGGTCCTGAGCACTCTGGAGCAGGTTTTCATCAAGGATCTCTCTGTACTTTGCTCCGTTCATCTTTCCCTCGATCCTAACTAGTCTCCCAGTCCCTGCCGCTGAAAAACATCCCCACAGCATGATGCTGCCATCACCATGCTACACCGTAGGGATGGTGCCAGGTTTCCTCCAGACGTGACCCTTGGCATTCAGGCAAAAGAGTTCAATCTTGGTTTCATCAGACCAGAGAATCTTGTTTCTCATGGTCTGAGAGTCCTTTCAGTGCCTTTTGGCAAACTCCAAGCAGGTTGTCATGTGCCTTTTACTGAGGAATGGGTTCCGTCTGGCCACTCTACCATAAAGGCCTGATTGGTGGAGTGCTGCAGAGATGGTTGTCCTTCTGGAAGAATCTCCCATCTCCACAGAGGAACTCTGGTGCTCTGTCAGAGTGAACATCGGGTTCTTGGTTACCTCCTTGACCAAGGCCCTTCTCCCCCGATTGCTCAGTTTGGCCGGGCGGCCAGCTCTAGGAAGAGTCTTGGTGGTTCCAAACTTCTTCCATTTAAGAATGATGTAGGCCACTGTGTTCTTGGGGACCTTCAATACTGCAGAAATGTTTTTGTACCCTTCCCCAGATCTGTGCCTCGACTCCAATCAAGTTGGAGAATCATCTCAAGGATGATCAATGGAAACAGGATGCACTTGAGTTCAATTTCGAGTCTCATAGCAAAGCGTCTGAACACTTATATAAATAAGGTATTTCTAAAAACCTGTTTTCACTTTGTCATTATGGGGCATTGTGTGTAGATTGATGATCATTTTTATTTATTTAATCAATTTTAGAAGGGGTCCGAATACTTTTCCGAATGCACTGTACACTAGTATCCCTGAAGAGTTACATAAATCACTTTTTTTTTTTTTGCAAGATAGCAATATGAACTGTGGCAGGGTTAGTCTAGACTAGAGAGATTGCCTTCTGCTTGTAATTGTATGTGGTGTGAGCGTTTATGTGTACTGTACCGCATATCACACTGAGGGCTACAAGAATAGCAATAGCTGCAGCAACAGCTCTTCAATGGCCGCCAGTCATAGGGTTTGTGTGTGTGTGTGTGCGTGCACAGAGGGAGGCAGAGAAACAAAATCCTGGTGGTGTAACAGTATTGACCAATGGTTGTCACACCACAACCAGCTACAGCTGGCCTGCAGAACGCACAGTGAGAAACAGTTTGGAGTGGTAGACTAGACATATGAGAAAACACTGCTCATACCACACAGGGATAATACCCTGGCTGGATACATTTACATTTTAGTCATATAGCAGAGGCTTTTATCCAGAGCAATTTACAGTAGGGAATACTGGTACCCCATGGGAATCAAACCCACAACCCACAACCCTTGCATTGCAAACGCTATGCTCTACCAACTGAGCCACACAGGACCCAGATGCTCATTGACAGAAATGCACAATGGTGGTTTTACAAGAACACATTTATTGCATACGTTGTGGTTGAGTCTTTTCTCTTTTCTATTCAATGGGTATCAATGAATAAATGTGAGAGAATGTGAACATGTGAGTAACCTGGATGAACTACAGTTTGAGAATTACTGATATTGTGTGAGTTACTTAACCTCAAATGCCTTTCATGTGTTTGTATATTGGAGCGAGCCTGTGACTGTGAGGGTCCGATATGGGCCTAGAACAGCTGAGGTGTGGACGTGGGCTGCATGGAGGTTGTCAGCTAATTAATTGTGTAACATTTTCTGTTGGTTTTGAGTGTTCATGCGAAGTGGTGACTAGGGGTTTGCTGTGACAACGTGATGATGGCTGCACTGTAGCAGGGATATAAGGATCAACATGGTTTAGCTTTCAGAATATAGATTTCAACACACAATATTTGGTGTTAAAAGCATGAATAATCCAGATTAATAAAGCAGAACTTGTTATTGTTCTTCTTGTTCTTGTCCTTCTGCTTCTGCTTCTGCTTCTCAGCAGCTCCATAACAAAGTGTATTATGTATTTACTCTTAGAACATAATGTTTTTATCAAGATGAAGCTTGGATTTCCTCTACAAATTACAATTTTAATGTCAGTGTGACCTGATGCCGGGCATGGTCCAAGTAATGTAATTAAAAACTCTCACATTACACATCACCTCACCATATTGTTGTACAGTGCTGTACTGGCCGCACATTAACTGAAAATCACTTCAAGGTTGACCTTTGAAAACATAACTAACGATTCAGTCTAATTGTTTTTTGTGTGGATAAGAAGTTTCAGATTCTATGTGAAGAAGCGCAATAACATTTTCCTGTGAATGCGTGGTTAGTCTTGGAAATATGTGTCTAATACACTTAGAAAGAAAGGTGTTAAGTAGAAGTTAAGTAGTAGGTTCTTCGGTTTGTCCCCATAGGGGAACCCTTTTTGGTGCTAGGTAGAACCCTTTGCAGAGGGTTCTACCTACAACCCTCTATGTAGGGTTCTTCATAGAACCCCCTGTAAATGGTTCTACCTAGAGCCCTCGATGAACGGTTCTACTAAGAACCCTTGTATCTTTGAAGGTTCTTCTTAGAACCCTAAATGAACGGTTTCACCAACCTTACTAGCCTTTAAAATTAAAAATGACAATACATTACATATTGTATACTGTATCATAAGGACTTTCTTTTGGTGACCTAATTATAACACAGTGGTGTTAAAAACTCCTGGTTTACAGGCCACATCAGCCCTGCAAGTCACATTATGCTCACTTGCAAAGTGATGTGTAATTCCTATTGGAATCCAGCCAGAGTGAGGAAATCCAACAATTGGAACTTTCATTCAACCTCAACCTGCATTCAGAATGACTGCCAGGGTAGAGAAGATTGATTACTGACACTACCTAAATCATCTAAACTGGAACAACCATCTCAGTAACGAGTGCAATAAATCCAACTACTAACAGTTTGTATTAGTTTAGAAAAATGTGTTATTTATCTTTGTGTAGCATAAGATCAATCAACCAATCAATGTTCATGCAAAAAACACAGATATTGAAACAAACAATTCTGAAATTCAACCTGCAATAGAGCATGCTGGGAAATATGATAATGATGAGTGTGGTTTTTTCAGTGTTTTTCCCTACACAGTGTCAAAATGACACAATCACACTCAACTCTGGTTATTAACACCAACAGTGGGGTTCTTTTGCACCATTGAGTGTTAAGTTAATTTAACTCCTGAATCAACACTATAAATGTTACACTGAAAAATCAACACTAGGTAAAACTGGCCAATTTGCTGTGTACCATACAATACACTGCCGGTTCACTCATACTATTCTCTTACTCTCTGCTCAATAAAATCATTGAAAATACTAAATTGAAAGACAGAAAACATTCTCACACCTATCTTTTTAAGTGTATCAGATTACTCCAACTCCTGATGTTAACGTTGAAACACTTAGGTAAACACTAATGCTCAGTCACTATTTAAAAGAAATAAAAAAACATTACAATAAAAAAGCTTATTCAAATTCAGAAGGGTTCTAAAGAATCATCAAAGAACCCTTTCTTCCAAAACGGTTCTTAGGATGTTTTAAGGTAGAACCCTTTGACTTACAAAGAACCCTTGTCTTCCAAAAAGGGTTCTTCAGATGAAAACCGTTCTTGGCATAACCTTATCCCTCCGCAAAGAACCCCTTTGGAACCCTTTTTAAATGTAAAACTTTGTACAGTGGAGTTTGACAATATCTCACCTTCGGTGATGACAAGAGCTTGGACAAGTCAGGCAATCTCGAGGGGTCACTATCTGTATGTGCTATACTGTGTGTGCTATACAGTATCAGCCAAGCCACATTCACACCTCTGTCTCTTGATATGGAGTGGCTTTCCATTTACACAACTCAGTCAGGACTCTGGGCCAAAGACCACACTATTTCTGGGGTAAAGGTGTCAGTGAGTAAACACAAGGAAAGGTGTTTAACTTTTTACGTAATGCACTGTATTTTGGGAGTACATGCCATCGCTCTTGACAGGAAGGTGATCCTATGAGCCTATAAGATTGTCAGGATTTGTAAGTTGCAATTCGATTGAAATGGTGTCCAATTTATGTGATGCAAGGCTAATATTTACAGTAACTCCATTATTAGAACGAAATAGTAAGCAATATACGGCCACAGTCATGAGGTACAAGCACTGGAAACTGATCCATAACATGAAACAAAAATAAATTAACAAAAGGAAGAGGCAATTGATATCAAAGGAATGAGCATGTTATGTGGGTCATTCCACCAATTCGGTGCCTTTTGAGAAGTGTAACTTGGAGAAAAAAATAACGTTTGCGTTTACCTAATTTTAACATTCTGTCATAACTTCATAAAAAACAAGTTTTCCCATATCAAGAGGTTAAATATATTGTTTAAATAGTAAAAGTGCCTGCCTATTAAGTGCCAAAAAAAGTAACAGGGTTGGCCGTAACAGGGTTGACAATTTTTTATCTTAAATCAGCCATACATCCCCTTGTGACAGGGGGAATGGAAGCTTGTTGTGTGCAACCGGGAGGGGCAAAAAAGTAATTGTTAAAACATTTCTAGCCTGTCTATCTATGGGTAACAGGCTTTTCACGTGTTATGCTCGACCCACTCAGTTTTCCACCACAAAACACCAGAAAATTGCCAAAAAGAGTAGAACCAGCTCACCTGCTTTTACACTATGATTTGACTATCAGATGTTCAATGTTTCTTTTGAAACAAATATTTAAAAAGGAATAGTTTCACAATATTAAAACGAGAGTTCAGTTCACGTAACAGGGTTAACCTTAAAATTAGGGAATAGCTTTATTTTTTTCCTTAAAATGAATCAGTTTGAAATGACTTTGTCAAAACAACATTATAACTTTACAATGATGGTGAAAACATTTTGGGGTTAAGTGGGTTAAAATCTTCCTGGAAGTCGACAGAGGGTGCACAGAGGGACATGACAAAATCTAGAATGTTTGGCAATTTATTCATATATCTTTTTTGATTGATTCTTATTGAATTCTCCATGTGGTCAATATTTATTTATTGTTATTATTTATGGTCACATACACTGGATAGATGCAAAAGGGCACTTTTTTTATTAAAGGGCACTTCATTGAATATAACAGCCTTTTAAAATGTAATATTGGTGCACAACCTCTACTTAAAATATCAAAGGCACTCATTTCGTGGAACAACCCATGTCCATTTTGAGAGTGCTCATGTTATTCTTAGTATTTTTTTCCCCACTCAATTCTGCTTAGTCACTCATCTCCACACAACTGTGAAAATAGTGTAAGGTGTACTTCCTTTGTCAGAGCAGTATAGCATTTGGTTTTGCTATTCTTGGGCATTAATTTACAAACTTTATGACCACGGTGCTTTTAGACACTTCTAACCACTGAGATGTATACAGTACCGCTGCGACAGACTGCTCTCCCACTACTAAGACACTTGTCGTTCAGTTGCAGCTGATGTGCACATAGGTTGGAGTCATTAAAACATGTTTTTCAAGCACTCCACAAATTTCTTGTTAACAAACTATAGTTTTGGCAAGTCGGCTAGGACATCTACTTTGTGCATGACACAAGTAATTTTTCCAACAATTGTTTACAGACAGATTATTTCACTTATAATTCACTGTATCACAACTCCAGTGGGTCAGAAGTTTACATACACTAAGTTGACTGTGCCTTTAAACAGCTTGGAAAATTCCAGAAAATTATGTCATGGCTTTAGAATCTTCTGATAGGCTAATTGACATCATTTTAGTCAATTGGAGGTTTACCTGTGGATGTATTTCAAGGCCTACCTTCAAACTCAGTGCTTCTTTGCTTGACATCATGGGAAAATCAAAAGAAATCAGCCAAGACCTCAGAAAAAAAATGTGTAGACCTCCACAAGTCTGGTTCATCCTTGGGAGCAATTTCCAAACGCCTGAAGGTACCACGTTCATCTGTACAAACAATAGTACGCAAGTATAAATACCATGGGACCACGCAGCCGTCATACCGCTCTGGAAGGAGACGTGTTCTGTCTCCTAGAGATGAACGTACTTTGGTGCGAAAAGTGCAAATCAATCCCAGAACAACAGTAAAGGACCTTGTGAAGATGCTGGAGGAAACAGGTACAAAAGTATCCATATCCACAGTAAAACGAGTCCTATATCGACATAACCTGAAAGGCCGCTCAGCAAGGAAGAAGCCACTGTTCCAAAACCACCATAAAAAAGCCAGACTACGGTTTGCAACTGCACATGGGGACAAAGATCTTACTTTTTGGAGAAATGTCCTCTGGTCTGATGAAACAAAAATAGAACTGTTTGGCCATAATGACCATCGTTATGTTTGGAGGAAAAACGGGGTGGCTTGCAAGCCGAAGAACACCATCCCAACCGTGAAGCACAGGGGTGGCAGCATCATGCTGTGGGGGTGCTTTGCTGCGGGAGGGACTGGTGCACTTCATAAAATAGATGGCATCATGAGGAAGGAAAATTATGTGGATATATTGAAGCAACATCTCAAGATATCAGTCAGGAAGTTAAAGCTTGGTCGCAAAGTGGTCTTCCAAATGGACAATGACCCCAAGCATACTCCCAAAGTTTTGTGGCAAAATAGCTTAAGGACAACAAAGTCAAGGTATTGGAGTGGCCATCACAAAGCCCTGACCTCAATCCTATAGAAAACGTGTGGGCAGAACTGAAAAAGCATGTGTGAGCAAGGAGGCCTACAAACCTGACTCAGTTACACCAGCTCTGTCAGGAGGAATGGGCCAAAATTCACCCAACTTATTGTGGGAAGCTTGTGGAAGGCTACCCAAAATGTTTGACCGAAGTTAAACAATTTAAAGGCAATGCTACCAAATACTAATTGAGTGTATGTAAACTTCTGACCCACTGGGAATGTGATGAAAGAAATAAAAGCTGAAATAAATCATTCTCTCTACTATTATTCTGACATTTCACATTCTAAAAAAAAAGTGGTGATCCTAACTGACCTAAAACAGGGAATTTTTACTAGGATTAAATGTCAGGAATAGTGAAAAAATGAGTTTCATTGTATTTGGCTAAGGTGTATGTAAACTTCCGACTTCAACTGTACATATTCCATTTTTAAATCAGATCATTTCACCATGATTATACTTGGACTTGGAACTCGACTTAAGCCCCGTTTATACCTGCCGCTAACATGAGTCCTTTGTCCTGATCTTGTCCACATTCTGAAATTAGCCCACATTTTCAGAAATACAGTGGGGAGAACAAGTATTTGATACACTGCTGATTTTGCAGGTTTTCCTACTTACAAAGCATGTAGAGGTCTGTAATTTTTATCATAGGTACACTTCAACTGTGAGAGACGGAATCTAAAACAAAAATCCAGAAAATCACATTGTATGATTTTAAAGTAATTAATTTGCATTTTATTGCATGACATAAGTATTTGATCACCTACCAACCAGTAAGAATTCCGGCTCTCACAGACCTGTTAGTTTTTCTTTAAGAAGTCCTCCTGTTCTCCACTCGTAACCTGTATTAACTGCACCTGTTTGAACTCGTTACCTGTATAAAAGACACCTGCCACACACTCAATCAAACAGACTCCAACCTCTCCACAATGGCCAAGACCAGAGAGCTGTGTAAGGACATCAGGGATAAAATTGTAGACCTGCACAAGGCTGGGATGGGCTACAGGACAATAGGCAAGCAGCTTGGTGAAAAGGCAACAACTGTTGGCGCAATTATTAGAAAATGGAATAAGTTCAAGATGACGGTCAATCACCCTCGGTCTGGGGCTCCATGCAAGATGTCACCTCGTGGGGCATCAATGATCATGAGGAAGGTGAGGGATCAGCCCAGAACTACACGGCAGGACCTGGTCAATGACCTGAAGAGAGCTGGGATCACAGTCTCAAAGAAAACCATTAGTAACACTCTACGCCGTCATGGATTTAAATCCTGCAGCGCACGCAAGGTCCCCCTGCTCAAGCCAGTGCATGTCCAGGCCCGTCTGAAGTTTGCCAATGACCATCTGGATGATCCAGAGGAGGAATGGGAGAAGGTCATGTGGTCTGATGAGACAAAAATAGAGCTTTTTGGTCTAAACTCCACTCGCCGTGTCTGGAGGAAGAAGAAGGATGAGTACAACCCCAAGAACACCATCCCAACCGTGAAGCATGGAGGTGGAAACATCATTCTTTGTGGGTGCTTTTCTGCAAAGGGGGCAGGGCGACTGCACCGTATTGAGGGGAGGATGGATGGGGCCTTGTATCGTGAGATCTTGGCCAACAACCTCCTTCCCTCAGTAAGAGCATTGAAGATGGGTCGTGGCTGGGTCTTCCAGCATGACAATGACCCGAAACACACAGCCAGGGCAACTAAGGAGTGGCTCCGTAAGAAGCATCTCAAGGTCCTGGAGTGGCCTAGCCAGTCTCCAGACCTGAACCCAATAGAACATCTTTGGAGGGAGCTGAAAGTCCGTATTGCCCAGCGACAGCCCCGAAACCTGAAGGATCTGGAGAAGGTCTGTATGGAGGAGTGGGCCAAAATCCCTGCTGCAGTGTGTGCAAACCTGGTCAAGACCTACAGGAAACGTATGATCTCTGTAATTGCAAACAAAGGTTTCTGTACCAAATATTAAGTTCTGCTTTTCTGATGTATCAAATACTTATGTCATGCAATAAAATGCAAATTAATTACTTAAAAATCATACAATGTGATTTTCTGGATTTATTTTTTTAATTCCGTCTCTCACAGTTGAAGTGTACCTATGATAAAAACGACAGACCTCTACATGCTTTGTAAGTAGGAAAACCTGCAAAAGCGGCAGTGTATCAAATACTTGTTCTCCCCACTGTATGTCTACACAATGTATCAAAATGTGTCTCATATCCGTCCACTGTGTCCACATTGTGACCAGATGTCCTGGTCCCTCCCTGTATGCAAATTATTTGACAGCTAGGCCTATTCTTTCTAAATATAATATGTATTTATTTATTTTAAGACATATTGATGCCATAAGTCAATGGTGCTACCTGTCAATGATTTTAGAAGGCAGGATAATTATGATTTAAATGGTTTCACTGTCCATATCTGTCTACACTTGTAAGATATCCAGACACAATGCACGCCTGACTACCTCCAGGGGTGTTCATGAATATCTGATCACAATCAGATCAGAATGCATCTTTTAATCGTCTACACATGTCTGAAAATGTGGGCACAATCAGAATGAGGACAAGATCAAGACAAAGGATGCACGTTAGAACCAGGTATAAACAGGGCTTGAGACACTTATAGTACAGGTTCACTCAGTCATGAATCAATGACATTGTTGAGCTTCACAGTTTGTGTTCTATATTGCAGTTTTTCATAGCTTTTTTAAATTCCTCATGCATTCACCACTATATTCAGTTGATTAATTCATGAAAACAAAAAAAACACATCCCCGCTAGCTACAGAGGACCAGACTATTCCTCACTCAGTCCACCTTTTGAAAGTATGATTTTGTTTTACTTTGAAAAGTGACATTAGTCACAAATATCTTGTTTGAAAACCTCACCAACAAGATTTAAACCTTTGTACAGTGGAGTTTGCTACCAAGGTGAAAGGTGAAAGCAAAGCATAGGTTGCTGTTCTAGGAAGGAAGGAAGTGCAACTCAATAAGACTGTAGTCTATGGCGTAGGCGTGAAAGAGCAGAGCGGCAGTTAGAGCTGCATCGGTGATTCACACAGGCTGAATAGCTTTCAGTGGCTATTTCCGCCTCAGCCGACGGACCGAGCCACAGCTGCTTCTAACAGTGTTAAAAACAGAACTTTAGCTAGCTATGGCACTGACTGCGCCTATTGTTTGAGGGAGAAGACGGCCTCCAAATTGATGTTCTTTGTACATCACACTTATCCATATAAAACATAAAGCAGGAAAATAACAGTGTTGAAAGGCCATCTTGGAAGTGCCACATCAGTCTCCCCAGAGAGGCAATATAGCTAGAACTATTGCTTGTGAATTTCCTGTGCTTTTAAAAGAAGCATATCTTCCTCATGGGGGGGGGGGGTTAAATGACAAGGTTCAGTGTCTCTCTGCTTTTCTTTTGATAGCTCAGACATTCAGCAGATATATGTGAATCCGTTGTGTCAAATAAATGAATATAATTTAAATCAGGAAGCGAGCCTTGGGTTCCGCTGCCATGACAACCCTACTGTTACAGTGGGGCTGCTGTCATGGTGACCTCAGTACCACACTTACCTCTCTATATATTTTTGTACAGACCTCATTAGAGGCTGACAGGAGAGAGATCTATTGCCATTAACTAGGTAGAGAAAATTGAGATATAGCTTTGTATGTTCCACACTTAGAAATAAGGGTATGGTTAGGGTACAGTATACATCTAAATAAAACAATAAAAATTTAACATCTAAATAAACATAATGTACCTTCAGAGGTACACATATAATCTTACATGGTAGGCCTACTGTTCGGTACCTTTTAGGGTACATCTACTATAATGGTACATTTTTGTACCCAATATTTTGAATATAAAGGTACAATCATCACACACTCTCAAAAACCAAGCCCATCATTATCATATTTCCCAGCATGCTCTATTGCAGGTACATTTTTGTTTGTTTGTTTCAATATGTGTTTTTGTATGCACATTGATTGATTGATTGATTGATTGATCTTATGCTACACAAAGATAAATAACATACATGGGCGGCAGGTAGCTTAGTGGTTAAGAGCGTTGTGCCAGTAACCGAAAGGTCGCTGATTCTAATCCCCGAGCCGACTAGGTGAAAAATCTGTCGATGTACTTAACCCTAATTGCTCCTGTAAGTCGCTCTGGATAAGAGCGTCTGCTAAATGACTCAAATGTAATGTAAATACATTTTTCTAAACTAATCCAATCTGTTAGTATTTGGACTTATTGCACCCGTTACTGAGATGGTTGTTCCCATTTAGATGGTTTAGGTCAGGGGTGTCAAACTAATTTTAGCTCAGGGGCCACATGGAGGAAAATCTATTCCCAAGTGGGCCGGACCGGAAAAATCATGGTATATATAACTTAAAAACAACAACTTCAGATTGTTTTCTTTGTTTTAATACGATCAACATACAACATAAAGCTGGAGCCTGAGGACAGTGTGTCCAAAATAGTACAAGCACAACATCACTATTAATCATAAAACACGTCAAGTTTATTTGAAAATTCTAAAGAAAAAGAACACACAAACACACAATGCCTCAGTGATTAACAGAACTGTTTCACAGATCACAGAACTATATCAGGGTGTCATTTCTCAGGCAGAAATGTAGATACAAATAATGAAATCCTGTTCCCCAAACAAGTGCAAGAACCACAGAGTCAAGAATAGGTTAAATATACAAATAAAATAAAATCAATTAAAAACAATAGCACGTCAACATAAAAACATATAAACATAAAGCTGGAGCCTGAGGACAGTGTCCAAAAGCACAACATCACTATTAATCATAAAACACCTCAAGTTATTTGAAAGTTCTGAGGACAAAGAACACACAAACACACAATGCCTCAGTGATTCACAGAAGTATATCACAGATCACAGAACTATATCAGGGTGTCATTTCTCAGGCAGAAATGTAGATAAAAATAATGAAATCCTGTTCCCCAAACAAGTGCAAGAACCACAGAGTCAAGAATAGGTTAAATATACAAATAAAATAAAAACAATTAAAAACAATAGCACATCAACATAAAAACATATAAACATAAAGCTGGAGCCTGAGGACAGTGTCCAAAAGCACAACATCACTATTAATCATAAAACACCTCAAGTTATTTGAAAGTTCTGAGGACAAAGAACACACAAACACACAAAACCTCAGTGATTCACAGAAGTATATCACAGATCACAGAACTATATCAGGGTGTCATTTCTCAGGCAGAAATGTAGATAAAAATAATGAAATCCTGTTCCCCAAACAAGTGCAAGAACCACAGAGTCAAGAATAGGTTAAATATACAAATAAAATAAAATCAATTAAAAACAATAGCACATCAACATAAAAACATATAAACATAAATCTGAAAGCGTTGCTCAAACTCCCGTAACAGTCCCGTTATTTTATCTTTGAACCGCTTCATGTCTGCCACATGTTGGGTCGCGCACACATTTTTCAGACAGGGGAAGTGAGCTGCATCACCACCGGCAAGTTGCGTCTCCCACAATGACAGCTTCAACTTGAAAGAACGTATGCTGTCATAATACTGCGTGACAACTTTGTTGCGCCCTTGCAGCTGTTTGTTCAAGTTATTCAGGTGCTCTGTAACATCCACCATAAATGCAAGGTCCTGCATCCATTCTGCGGAATGAAATTCTAACACTGGTTTGCCCTTTTCTTCCATGAACTGTTCAATTTCTTCTCGTAAATCTAAGAAACGCCTCAGCACAGCACCTCGGCTTAACCATCTTACCTCAGTGTGGTATGGCAGGCCATAGATGTGGTCTTTCTCTCTGAGAAGGCTGTCAAACTGACGGTGATTCAGGCTTCTGGATCGGATGAAATTAACAGTTTGGATGACCACCTTCATGACGTTATCCATCTTTAATGACTTGCAACACAAAGCCTCCTGGTGCAAAATACAGTGAAAAGTCAAAAAATCACGTCCTCCATTTGCAGATTGCACTTTCTCTCTGAACTTTGTCACAACGCCTGCTTTTTTCCCGATCATTGAGGGCGCACCATCTGTAGCCAGGCTGACAGCGCGGGACCAGTCCATTCCGACCCTGTCCAGCGCGCCGACGAGTGCGGTAAAAATATCAGCTGCTGTCATCGTATCTGTCATCGGCACCAACTCCACGAACTCCTCGGTGACGGTCAATGTGTCATCAACTCCGCGGATGAAAATGGCCAGTTGTGCAACATCTGTAATGTCCGTGCTTTCATCAATTGCAACCGAAAACGCAATAAATGACTTTACTTTTTGCTTCAACTGGCTGTCCAAATCCACTGAAAGATCGGAAATCCTGTCTGCAACTGTGTTTCTTGTCAGGCTGATATTTGCAAAAGCCTGCCGCTTTTCAGGGCACACAATCTCCGCTGCCTTCATCATGCATGTTTTTACAAATTCACCCTCACTAAATGGTTTTGAAGCCACTGCGATTTCATTAGCAATGAGGTAGCTAGCTTTCACTGCAGCGTCACTGATGTCTCGGCTGTGAGTAAACACAGACTGCTGTTTCTTCAGACCCGCCAACAGTTCATTCACCTTCTCTCATCTCCGCTGTCCTTGAAAGTTGTCATATTTGTCGGCATGAAGACTCACATAGTGGCGACGAAGGTTATATTCTTTCAGCACTGCAACATGCTCTGAACACACCAAACATACAGCTTTCCCATTCAATTCAGTGAATAAATAGGATGACCATTTTTCTTCGAACACTCTGCCCTCTGCGTCCACTTTTCTCTTTTTTGACAGAGACATATTGGGGCAATGAGGGTGCCAAAGCACATAATGTTAAAAGTAGAAGCCGTAATGAATATCGCGGGCAAAACAAAGTAGCTCATTGGCTGCACGTGCTTGACCTACTTGCTCTGCCCCGGTATAAACAGTTTGCTTGCTTAACACAATTGCTATTGCGCCAACCAGTGGACGCAATTGGAACAGCAGTTTATTTTATTGAAAAATTGCAGCGCATTTTTATACTTTACAAAATTATTATTATTATTATTATTATTATTATTATTATTATTATAATTTTTTTTTTTTTTATCATCTCACGGGCCGGATTAAACCCGTTTGCGGGCCTGATCCGGCCCGCGGGCCGGACGTTTGACACCCCTGGTTTAGGTAGTCTCATTTATAATTTTTCCCTACCTTGGCAGTCATTATAATTGCGGGTGATTAAAAGTTAACATTTATGGATATCCTAACTCTGGCTGGATTCAAATAGGAATTACATATCACTTTGCAAGCCAGCATAATGTGACTTGCTCGATGTGGCCTGCAAACCAGGAGTTTCAGACCACTGTGTTGCGGTAAAACTAGGCTGTCAAAGTATGGCCTTATGATATATGTAATGTATTGTCATAAATAGTTGGATTTCAATGATCAAATGTTAACTTAGGCACTCTACAGGACTGAAGCCATTGAATGCAACAACCATGTCTCTGTCACTAGCAAACACAGTCATGGGTGGTACTGGTAACTCTAAAAATCGTTTGAAAGGCACCCTAGGAAATATGCAAATAAGGCTTTACACCCTACAGCGTTAAAGCAACACATTTTCTACCTGTACTATCTTGTCCCCTAAGGAACCTTATTGGCTATTTTAAGGTACAAACTGCCAGGGTACAATTATGTACCTATAACTAAAGGTCAAGGGACGTACCTTACAGGGTACCACTAAAGTGACAAGTGTTTGTGCCCCTTTAGGAACAAATCGAAACCTTTATTTCTGAGCGTGCAGGAGCTGTTTGAATTTCAACTAGACAAACATGTTAGGGTTTTTTCACATATAGTCCTCTTTAAAAGAACCGATCTCAGTCCTCTTTAAAGTGAACTCTGGGGTAAAAAAAAGAACTCAGATCCCTTTTTTATTCACACTGCCCTTGCCTTTGAATGAGGACTCAACTCTTTTGCTAGTTCACTTCCCCTATTTTGTGGTCCGAGTTATCTTTGCATTCACATTGCTATGAAAGGAGCCAATATCTTTTTCCAACATTCACTCAATGCACTCTGGGTTTTTACAAAGTGCAGCAAAAGCCATTCCATCACAATGTGTTATCAGACAGCTAGATATACCTACTTACATTTTGGAAGCTAATAGATTTCATTTAGTTAAAAGACGAGATATAATAATTATAATCAGAAGATAATATTAACATGTAAATATGCTTGGTAACAGAATAAATAAAGAATAATTGCAGATAAAAAATTGCTGTAATTGAACATTTTACACCCAATGTAGGCTACTGCCCCTTTAATAGCTATCATTGATTTTGTACCCTTTGTTGTGGTTATGACCAAATATTGTTGTATTCTCATGCTATTCAAACCCCACAATCGGATTAACAGTTTATGAAGCTCTCTTAGTCTATAGATCACATATTGCAAACAAATAATCAGAAACATATTGTCAGTACAAAATGCCACACATACGATTTTTCAGCGAATCTGCATCATCATCTTCTCACTTTTGCAGAACCAATGTGAGGCGTTATGGCAGGGGAAACGGTGTTGCATAATGGCAAGCAAACCTGGAGAGCTTTGTGTTCATATTGCCTTAAAAAAGGGAGCCGGTCCTTGGAATTAAAGCGAACCGAACTCAGACCACTTCTCGAGATGGTGTCAGTTCGGTTCGCTTCGGGGGCTCTTTTGAGGGGTCTGAGTTCCTTTTGGAGTGTTCACACTGCACAAAAAATTTGGGGAACCACATTGAGTTCACAGAAATTGTCTGAAAGAGACCAAGTGTGAAAACACCCTAAAATTAGTGATATTGCTACTAAGATGTATTATTCACAATAGGAATAGATAACAGATTAGACTCATAGTACAATTGTGAGATGCTTTACTTAAAAAAAAAAAGACAATCAGTTCAAAGTTATAATATGTGTTTCGGTCAAAATAAAAGGGCGCAAACTACAATCACTAAATAGGAATTAGAGCTAAGCCTTCTCAACGTCTTCACTTCCATAATAGGAATACAGATCAACAATCCTCTGACAACCTTCCCTCTTCCAACCATTATTCCATTAGTCCTCCTGAGAGTGTGACTAACTGACAGACAGAGAGTCTGTATCTATTACAGAGGTAAGTTAGCGACACTACATGAGACCTGCACTGCAGTACATCAGCCTTGATAGAGCTATGTTAATTTCCATGTCACTTGAAGCCTGCTTTCTTTTTGTCTTAGACAATATTTGCTAGGGATTATCATTGTTCATTCTCATTTTTTAAAATTGTTTTAATCTACTAGGTCTCCTTCTCCTCTAGCTGTTTCTGTTGCATCCTTATTCTCAGGTGCTCCCTTTGCAAAACGTAGAATTATCTCTCAGAGTTATTACAATAATAATATTGCAACAATCTATTGTCGTTGTTACTAACAAGTTGTCATTTGATTAGTCTAATCGTAACAGTTGAATCAAACGACAGTGTCCCTGTGTGTGTGTGTGTGTGTGTGTGTGTGTGTGTGTGTGTGTGTGTGTGTGTGTTTGTGTGATGTGAGCTTGGCTAGATGGTGAAATAGTGGAATTGGCTACATGCTGTAACCTAGCTCATCAGAGTAGATCAATAGCGGGTTATGCACAGCAGTGGTTCCCTCACCACACTACACAGGTCAGTCAATATGTTGCTCTTTTCTTTGACATTGGATTGATTGGCAGGCTGTTATTCCTAAAACTGTTTAGTAACTAACCACAGAAATAGTGTTTAAACGTAGTGCAAGTCTTACATTGTGCTTGTTGACCTAAAGCACAGCATAGTTTGACTTTGGATAGATTAGTGAAAACTGACCGTTAGAAATCCAATGTTCTACTACAGAACATGGTGAAACAGACCGATCTCCTTTTGCTATGTTTCTAAATACCAAAGGTCTGTTCAGCTGGGTGCAATGTTACAGAATGTGCAGCTCTATCCAATACGTGTCTATGTGCAATATTCTGAACGTTTCACGTTTTCTAGTATCCTTGGTCTTTAATTGAATTAAGCACAGGTACTTTTCTAACTTCATTAAAATATAGTAAAGCCTCTGTTAATTAATGTGGGCTCCTTGGCAACAGACTGTTTGGTTAAACACCTACCCTACATTTACCAAAGGAGGACAATTGCCAAGTCTTTTTGTAGGCCATAGGCTTCTGCCACTTGGTAAAGACTGTATATAACATATAATAAGCCGTATAATAAGACATCATAAGGGCTCATAACATGCTTATAACATTCTGCATCATTATGGGGCTCCATAATCAGCAGCAAATAACCAATTCAATTTGAAGAGGCATATTACTTTGCTGTGACTTGCATTACTACTGAATGGAGGCTGTGATGAACAGCTTGGAAAAAACCCTGAATAACCATTGGAGCTTCTCAGTAATGTGTTAGTATATTTATTACATCAATGGGCAGTTGGGTATCAGACAGTACTGTATCATCAATTGTGAAAATCTGAACCATGGGCTCTCTAAATTGAATTTAGAGATAACATCATTGTTCCTCTAAATGTTATTAGGTTAATCTAATCTAAATCAAATCAAGGTTTATTGGTCGCGTACACAGATTTGCAGGTGTTGTAGCAGGTGCAGCGAAATGCTTATGTTACTAGCTCCAACAATGGAGTCAAATGTCTAGCAAATACAATACAAATACACAAATAAAGTAAACAATCTAAAACAATAAATCAAGAAATGTCAGAACAAGTCAAGTTAACAATCCACGTAGAGATATTAGAGTGAGCAGTGTCAGAATCCAGAATATAAATATAAATACATGGTGTGTATAGACAGTATATAACTTGGAAAATAAAATGGTATGTACAGTATTATGTATATTAGGTTGAACTATATGGAGAATACAGTACAATCTGTCCTAGTCTGCTGTGTGAGATGTCTCCAGAAGGGCCTCTATTGAGACTGGTGTCTTCTTGGGTTGCATACAAACAAAGCAGAAAAAGGCCTCTTTAATTTGACAATTTAATATAATGTTTTAAATTGTCTGAAAGGAAATGACTGTACATTTCTCTCCACTTAGTCAACAAGCAATAGAACAACGAATCTGTTTTGAACAGAACTAAAGTCAACCAAACAAGAAAACCTATAAAATGTTAACCAATGCCAGCTAGTCCTTTTGTTCTCTCCCACACAGTTACCCGAGTGTGGCTTCTATGGGATGTATGACAAAATCCTGCTGTTCCGCCACGACCCAGGCTCAGAGAACATCCTCCAGCTGGTGAAATGTGCTACAGACATCACAGAGGGAGACCTGGTTGAGGTGGTCCTGTCAGGTAAGTAAGTCGCTCTGGATAAGAGCGTCTGCTAAATGACTTAAATGTAAATGTAAGACCAGTGCTCACTACACAATACGCACTGCATGATACACACACTACACACTACCTGGTTGAGGTGGTCCTGTCAGGTAAGGCTATAGTACACACTAGAACAGGGCTGTGTTCGTTAGGCCCAAAACGGAAGAGAAAAAAATGGAAATAGGGAGGAACTACCCAAACTTGACCAATAAGAAACATTTGTTTTGGTTTTCTGATGCGATTGCCCTAATCAAAATGATCCATCCTTAGAAGGTCACACATGGCACAACCTTATCTTCATCATCTTCATCACTGCTCAATACCGACATTGTTCCTCTGGATTTGAGTATGCAGCATGCTCCTGTTTGAGGGTGACTTCTGTTCACCTGTGTTCTGTTTGCCTATAGGCTACAATCATATGACCTTTGTCCACAGTGTATTAATGCAATTGAACATAGGCCAATTGCATTCACTGGTTCTATTCAGCTGTATTTTCTGTTAGTTATGTAGCTGCTGGAATAGACCATTTGATATAGGGAAGAGAGGTGAACTCTCTTATGAACCCTTGAGGTTGAATAATAGCAGAAAATGGAAGGTTCCTTTTGTTGTGTTCAAAATGCAGAACATGTTCTAGCTTCATACAGATTGTGAACAGAGTACAAAAAGTCTCCATAATAGCAGCTTGAAAAGGAGGAGAGAGATATAATGTTACCCAGGGTAATGGACTAATCAGAAGACACAATGATAATAGTGAGGACATGATGTTACTATGAAATTGATTCACATGGCAAAAGCGTGTATGTATTCTATGTGCTTGGCTAATAGCTAGATGGTTCAGTCAGTCAACACAACAGACAATAACATATATAACTGGCTGCATGACAAATACAAAACTAGAGGGCATGTTGCTGTCTAGCTGATGTGGCCTGCTACCTAAGATCATCTATTCACATACTATCCTGTTTAAAACCACCAGAAGCTTAGCTGCCAATCAGAAAAACCAACTCACAAGTCAAGGTCTGGACATTTGGAACTATGCAAATTCACCAAATACTGTAAGCTCTATCTCAGATGCCCCTCTCTCGTGAAGTAATAAAGCATTTATGAAAATAACAAAACAGTAAGTTGTCACACAAATCATTGCTCATCTCTATGTGTCCATCTCTCCCCACTGGGCAACGACGTCAATTCAACGTCTATTCCACGTTGGTTCAATGTAATTTCATTGAAATGACGTGGAAACAACGTTGATTCAACCAGTGTGTGACCAGTGGGTCGGCTTTGTTTGGCAGTGTTCTGCCCCCCTCCACTCACTCCCGTTGTTGTGGAAAGTTTGGCTGCCTCACCCGGTGAGAAATCAGGGGTGGGCTTATCTTAGCTTAAGAGCAGGAAGTGATCCAAGTATCAATCTTGACACTGATAAAGTGTTTTTACAAACACTTGGCAGGCTTTCTCTTCCCCCTCTCAGCGTGCTACAGTATGGCAGGTAATTTAGTTGTGTCTGTGGTACAGAGACATGGGGTAGAATAACACCTCCGCTACCCCCTGGCTACACCCCTCGCTGGGAAGGAGAGGGCTCAGGTGATTTAGTTGTGTCTGTGGTACAGCGACAGGGGAGACATGGGGTAGAATGACACCTCCGCTACCCCCCTCGCTGGGAAGGAGAGGGCTCAGGTGATTTAATTGTGTCTGTGGTACAGCAACAGGGGAGACATGGGGTAGAATGACACCTCCGCTACCCCCCTCGCTGGGAAGGAGAGGGCTCAGGTGATTTAATTGTGTCTGTGGTACAGCAACAGGGGAGACATGGGGTAGAATGACACCTCCGCTACCCCCCTCGCTGGGAAGGAGAGGGCTCAGGTGATTTAATTGTGTCTGTGGTACAGCAACAGGGGAGACATGGGGCTATTGTGTTATGTTAGGGTCACATGTTATAAAGGTTCACATGGGTATGTCTTACTGCACAGGTATTTATTTTGTACTACTGTCTTTATTCAGTTCATCTCAGCTTATGCTCACACTCACATTTGAGATAAAATATCAAAACAAGTTAAAACCTTCTTCTGTTCCTGAATCTTGATAAGTCTTAGAAGGTATATGAGGGGAGACAGTGTGAGTATTATCATACTAATATCACCAACAAAAAAATGTCATTAAAATGTATTTATAAAGCCCTTTTTACATCAGCAGATGTCACAAAGTGCTATACAGAAACCCAGCCTGAAACCCCAAACAGCAAGCAATAGAGCAGCTGCTATAAACGGTTCCCCACTTGACAGAGCCACACTCCACTGAACTCATCAATAAAATCATGAATTCCCTTCACAGATGATCACTTGGGTAAAATCTCCTACCTACAAGGAGAAATAAAAATGCATATGGTTGGTAAATTAACATTACGGTGTGTTAAACTGCATCCCAGAGAGTTGTTTTCACCAGCCAGTCTTCCTGTCAAAGATCTCACAATTTGTGTTTCCTCGTTTGAGCTTTTCGACTTCTAGAGCAACTTAATTAGTGTGAAGGTGGATAGGATGCTAAAAACACTTTTGCTGTCATCAGCATGAGGGTGTGAGCAGCGTACGTTTGTCACGCTGGCGCAGGATGCTACTGGATGCAAGCAGGGGTGTGTACACCATACTGTAAACATAAATATGGAAGAGAGGAAGAAGTCAACTTGAACTCTTTCCAATAAATGCTTTCCGCCCTGTTTGATCACTGAAATGTAACACACTGTAACACTACAGTATGCACAGTGCCTTTGGAAAGTATTCAGACCCCTTGACTTTTTCCACATTTTGTAACACTTTTTTGGTTACTACATGATTCCATGGGTGTTATTTCATAGTTTTGATGTCTTCACTATTATTCTACAATGTAAAAAATTAAGAAAAACCCTTGAATGAGTAGGTGTGTCCAAACTTTTGACTGGTACTGTAAGTATTTATTTAGATTAAGCCTACTTAGGCACCACATTCACATACACACACTCATTTTCTGAAGCATGTAATGACAGTTTACATGTTGTTAAACTTCCAAACATACATTGGCCTTTAAACAAAAAGCAAAACAATAATTGGAATAAATTGAAGCAGTTTACCCAGCAGAATGGCCAATCAGAATGTATTCTACTTGAGCGTGCTGAGAAAAGCATGTTGGTGGGGAGATGTGTGTGTTTGATGAGGCAGTCTACTCTCATGCTGAGCTCTCCACTCTATCCCATTGGCCCAATGCAGCCTAACTGCACCAGCCAATCAGAAAATCACAACTCCATATGCAGCAAAAAGCCTTGTTTACCTCAACATATACAAATACTGTACCAGGGAATGGCCATTCATTTTTAATTCTACATCCATACCACCACACTACTTCACTACTATATCACTATTCACAGAATACAACTCAGTTCTTGATCTAGGAGTGTGAGGAAAATGTTGGAATTGAACCATTGACTATTGTTGTTGTTGTTGTTGTCCTGTTCTAGCCTCTGCCACAGTGGAGGACTTCCAGATCCGTCCCCATGGCTTGTTTGTCCACTCCTACCGGTCCCCTGCCTTCTGTGACCACTGTGGAGAGATGCTGTGGGGCCTGGTGAGACAGGGCCTCAAGTGTGAAGGTAGGTACTGTACAGAAGGAGCCCTGGACTGCATCTCAAATGGCAGCCTATTCCCTATATAGTGCACTACTTTTGACCAGAGCTCTGGTCAGAAGTAGTGCACTTTGTAGGGAATAGGGTACAATTTGGGACGCAGCCCTGGGCCTATTTCAACTAATGTAATTAGGTTCCAGCCACTCCGACACAATTATGTAACTCTGTAAGAGAGGATATTATCAGGGTACATGGGATACAGGCCACTCTGGTGTACTCTAGTCTGAAGAGGTCTCTTCAGGGTTTGTGATGAGCAGCAAAGCCCCTGCTTGAAGAGTGTTGGGAAGAAGAGAACAGTTTGTCTTCTGTCAGGCTGAAGAGGCAGGTGGAAAGGTAGTGCATAGAGGGGATGGAGGTATACACAATAGCCTAATATGTATAAAAGTGAAGTATTACATACTGTGGTGTCTGACTGGAATGGTGGCGAGCTCATGAAGGAACGTTTCCCAAAGACAAAAGTTTCAACAATCCATGAATGACTTGGTCCATTAGATGATTCCTAATTATACTGAACAAAAATATAAACGCAACATGCAACAATTTCTACGATTTTACTGAGTTACAGTTCATATAAGGAAATCAATCAATTGAAATAAAGAAATTAGGCTCAAATCTAAGGATTTCACATGACTGGGAATACAGATATGCATCTGTTGGTCACAGATACCTTTAAAAAAAGGTAGGGGCGTGGATCAGAAAACCAGTCAGTTTCTGGTGTGACCACCATTTTCCTCATGCAGCGTGACACATGTCCTTCACATAGAGTTGATCAGGCTGTTGATTGTGGCCTGTGGAATGCTTCACTCCTCTTCAATGGCTGTGCAAAGTTGCTGGATATTGGTGGGAACTGGAACACGCTGTCGTACACGTCGATCCAGAGCAATGCTCAATGCGTGACATGTCTGGTGAGTATGCAGGCCATGGAAGAACTGGGACATTTTCAGCTTACAGGAATTGTGTACAGATCCTTGCTACATGGGGCTGTGCATTATCATGCTAAAACATGAAGTGATGGTGGTGGATGAGTGGCACGACAATGGGCCTCAGGTATCTCTGTGCATTCAAATTGCCATCGATAAATTGTAATTGTGTTTGTTGTCCGTAGTTTATGTTCGTTGTCCGTAGCATAACCCCACCGCCACCATGGGGTACTCTATTCACAACGTTGACATCAGCAAACCGCTCGCTCACACGACGCCATACACACTGTCTGCCATCTGCTCGGTACAGTTGAAACCGGGATTCATCCGTGTAGAGCACACTTCTCCAGCGTATCAGTGGCCATTGAAGGGGAGCATTTGCCCACTGAAGTCGGTTACGACGCCAAACTGCATTCAGGTCAAGACCTGAGGACGACTAGAACGCAGATGAGCTTCCCTGAGCTGTTTCTGACAGTTTGTGCAGAATTTCTTTGGTTGTGCAAACCCACAGTTTCATCAGCTGTCCGGGTGGCTGGTCTCAGATGATCCCGCAGGTGAAGAAGCCGGATGTGGAGGTCCTGGGCTGGCGTGGTTACACGTGGTCTGCAGTTTTGAGGCCGGTTGAATGTACTGCCAAATTCTCTAAAACAATGTTAAAGGCGGCTAATGGTAGAGAAATGAACATTCAATTCTCTCGCAACAGCTCTGGTGGACATTCCTGCAGTCAGCATGCCAATTGCACACTCCCTCAAAACCTGACATCTATGGCAATGTGTTTTGTGAGTGGCCTTTTATTGTCCCCAACACAAGGTGTACCTGTGTAATGATCATCCTGTTTAATCAGCTTCTTGATATGCTACACCTGTCAGATGGATTACCTTGGCAACGGAGAAATGCTCACTAACAGGGATGTAAACAAATTTGTGCACCAAATGTGAGAGAAGTAAGCTTTCTATGCATATGGAACATTTCTGGGATCTTTTATTTCAGTTCATGAAACATGGGACCAACAGTTAACATGTTCCATTTATATTTTTGTTCAGTGTAGTTCCATAAAGACAGTCTCTCACCAGTTTGATGCAAGTATAAAAATGGCCACGTTACATGTGAACTCACCTTTGCTCTGAAACCGTCTGTTTCTCTCCTCTGAAGGTTGTGGTCTGAACTATCACAAGCGCTGTGCCTTTAAAATCCCAAATAACTGCAGTGGGATCCGCAAGCGGAGGTTGTCCAATGTCTCTCTGACCGGCTTGACCACCCTTACCACCACACGGTCCAATGAGCCTTCGCCTTTCACCTCCGACGAGGCCTTACTGGTGAGTTTACCCCTGGTTACTGTGGGTCATCATGAAGAGCTACACACACACATGCACATTATCACACAGGCATGGACGCACGCACGGACCCAGGCACACACACACACACACACTACACACACACACACACACACACCACACACACACACACACACCATAGATTACTACATGCCCTACGCATTCCCAACCTCCCAATGGCAAATTGTTGGATTATGATGAGAAGCATGTTCCTACTATAAAGGACCTGATGTGATTCTGAAAGCCTCTGTTGCTGGTTGTGTTCATGATGAATTCTGTTGGAGCAGGTCTTTACTCCAGCAGCAGTCAGTCATGTGTGTGAATATTGTTCTGGTTTAACTCTGATCTCTCTCTTCACCTCCTCCCTGTGTGTGTCCCTGTCCTCTCCTCGCTGTATGCTCAGTCTCCTGTCAGTCCTGGCATGGAGGTAGGTACCCCAATACCCTGCCCTCACTTATTGCAGTATCAATACGCCTATTATCACCAGAAGCACGTCGCTCTTTCCCTGTGTCAAAATAAGACAAATACAAATGTTGTTTAGGTAGCTGATGACATCTGTTACCTACCTTGTGCCTTGCTCTGAGTGGGGCATCAGGGCAACACCCTGACTGATCTACCCTGCTACTCTCCACAGCAGAAGACACAGACAGACTTCTTTTCTGGCAGAGAGAGAAGGTCCTCTTCCTACATCGGCCGGCCCATAGAGTTAGACAAAATCCTCCTGTCCAAAGTCAAGGTGCCTCACACCCTCGTCGTCCACTCCTACACACGCCCCACCGTCTGCCAGCACTGCAAGAAGCTACTCAAGGGCCTGTTCCGTCAAGGCCTGCAATGCAAAGGTACTGTAGGGGTTCCGAGAAACTTGAGATAATGAGAGAGGTTGACAGTGGTTGGTGGAGGAGGTGTGGATGATAGTGAGTCACACAGTACTTACTGTAATACTGTGTGACTCACCCGTGGGCTTTTGCCAGCTCAATATTTTCAGGTGGTATTTTTGGATATCTCAAGACTTTGTTGTCACAGAGTTGGCAGAGCTAACAGACGGCAGTTGTTTCTCCCTCAAGCTTTCTTTGTGACATCTTGAATAACTATTATGGTCTAAATAATAGATAGCCCTGTAACTGTATAATTACATGGTAATCACAAATGCAGCAACAGTGTTGTGACTACCATAGAGATCCTATAATTCACAGATGTACTGTACTGTAATTCTATGGTTACTACAGTGTGCACAAGCCGTCATGTTGCTTTCATTTACGTTGCGTCTCTGGCAACCGAACCGATAGAACGAACGACCAGCCGGCTTGGGTAGCAACCCTAGATTTGTGTCGGGACAATATCTTGTGGAAGGATGAAATAGTGTGAATAAATTCATCAAAATACGGTTTTTAATGAAAATATGTCAATCATTATTTGAATATGTGGGTAACCTGTTGTATAAAAGTGATAATGCCCTTGAAGCCGTTGTTTGGAGGATATATTGGCACGGTTTGCTGGCCGTCGATTTCGTCTCGGGCTTAACAACACCCGTGCCAATATATCCTCCAAACACCAGCTTCTCGGGCATTATCACTTCAATAGAGTTGTACTTTATATAGACAACAGAACAGAGTGTAATAGTATCATATGAGAGACGGTTCATTAGGTACTCTAGCAGACAGATAAGGTGCTGTTTGTAGTCACAGTGCTATTGGACAGGTTACATATGGATATGTCATCTCTCTCTCTCTCTCTCTCTCTCTCTCTCTCTCTCTCTCTCTCTCTCTCTCTCTCTCTCTCTCTCTCTCTCTCTCTTCTCTATCTTTCTCCCTCCCATCTTACACTCTCTCTCTCACACTCTCTCTGTTTCTCTCTCACGGTTACAGATTGCAAATTCAACTGTCATAAACGATGTGCGCCCAAAGTACCAAACAACTGCCTTGGAGAAGTGTCTAAAAATGGAGGCAAGTTTCACTTTAGATAGTCATTTGCTGTAAATGTGGCAGATCTTTCCTAGTAAGTGGTCGCCATCTCATATAGTTTCCAAGAAATGTCACAGGATATGTTTCTTTCAATTCTGCAACATTTACTTCAGTTATGAGAGACTGAAGAAAGATAATCATATATAGGATACCAGCTGAATTCTTGGAAGTACCAGAATATTCCTTGAAATATCGACCGAATTATGACTGTAAAATAACATCACTGTTTTATTTTAAAATCTCTTCCACACTAGCGCTCTGATATTCTTTGTATTTTTCATTTTTTTCTTCTTCTTTTGGTTCCTTCTTTCTTCCTCTTTAAAAAACAGGGTTTCTCTGGCATACTTAATGTTCTACTATTCTCTTTTCTACACCTTGTGTGTTTCCACCTGTTGCTCCTCCTCCTCCTCCAGATCTGCTGAGCTCAGGGGCGGAGTCTGATGTGGTGATGGGGGAGGGTTGTGACGACCACGACAGTGACAGGAACAGTGGTCTGATGGATGACATGGAGGAGGCCATAGTGCCTGACTCGGGCCTGCTGGAGGCTGGCCATGGGGAAATGGGAGACCTCCATGACCCAGAGGATGACTGCAACAGGGCTATAAGGTGATTGACTGGGCCTGGGACTAGGACAGGGGGACCCCCCAATGGCTGTGGATATGTACAGTAGTCATAGGTCCTGTTAAAATATCCACTCTAGCATACTGCTTAGAATGAAGCAATGTACCCCGGCTCAACCCTTACCCTTACCCTAGCCATAACCCCAACCCTAGCTTCATCTCCATGTCCAGGTTCAACCACAACCCTAACCCTAGCTTCATGTCCACATTCTGGTTCAACCCTAACCTTAGCCTCAACCACAACCCTAACCCTAACCATAGCTTCATGTCCACATCCTAGTTGTAACCTAACCCTAACTTCATGTCTACACGTTGGATCAACCCTGACCCAGTCCATAACCCTAACTTCATGTCTACACGTTGGATCAACCCTGACCCAGTCCATAACCCTAACTTCATGTCTACACGTTGGATCAACCCTGACCCAGTCCATAACCCTAACTGAGTCCTGAAGTTGAGAAGAAACATTCACAGAGTTTTCTGTTTGACTCCCTTCATTCCAAAGCCCGTCTACTAGCAACAACATCCCGCTGATGCGAGTGGTCCAGTCAGTCAAAAACACCAAGAGGAAAAGTAGCAATATTATGAAGGAAGGTTGGCTAGTGCACTTCACCAGCAAAGACACTCTAGTAAGTCTGATTATATTAATGTATTTTTGTCACACCAACTAATCAATCTGCTGTAGAGTTGCAAAATTCCATGATTGTAATGTTTTGTATGTTTTGTTGAAGTTATTTTGTGAATGCCTGTCTTTTAAATGTTAAATTGTGTTTTTATTTAATCAAATCTGCTATGGGCACTAACCTATGGCATAATAGATGCTAATGAATAGATGGAAACCCCCATTGCCAAGAGGTGGAACACACCAGGAACATATGTTATGTTGTCTCAGTCTGTGCAAGGCTCTCTATCTGTTTCCACTACAGAGGAAAAGACACTACTGGAGGCTGGACAGCAAATGCATCACGCTTTTCCAGAATGACACAGGGAGCAAATACTACAAGGTAAGAAATCAATTGAAATGTTATATAGATTATTATGGGTGAGGGTGATTGAAATCTAAGAACTGAGCTTTATGCAAACTAATTTACTGTAATTTAGGGTTTGAATAAGACAAGGTAACATGCAGTTTTACGCTATACTCTCGACTGATAAGCAGGCTGCAACCACTTTTTCATATAAAGACTTAAGATATAATGTAATTTGTAGCAAGAAATAGGCGGCCTGGACCAAGACATTGATCAGACATTGATCAGTTTGAAATATCATGCTTTATATTGAAACGCAAGTGCTCTAATCCCTGTAAAATGACTGCTACTACATCAATCAATCAAATGTATTTCATAAAGCACTTTGTACAACAGCTGTTGTCACAAAGCGCTTTACAGTAACCTGGCCTAGACCTCAAACAGCAAAGAGCAATACTACTTCTGCTATGTGGCAGGAAATTCCGTTGTCAGAGGTGTTGTCTCTGGACCCAGCCAAGACCTTCAACTTGCTGTCTGAGGGCTCCAACGCCCACTGCTTTGAGATTGCTACGGGCAGCCTGGTCTACTATGTAGGGGAGAACCTGGCGAGGCCGGAGGGCCCGGGGAGCATGTCGGCCCACAGCAGTATGCTGGTCAGCGGGGTCGGGCCGGATGTGGCTAGGATGTGGGAGATGGCCATCCAGCACGCCCTCATGCCCGCCATCTCTAAAGGACTGTCACATGGGTCACGCCACAGTGGCCACAGTACGTATAAGCAGAGTGAATTGGATAGATTTTGGGATAGATTAACTCTTATATAAATTAATTTAATTTAATTGAAGCAACCTTGTTTTACTTAACACTACGGTTGCAAAATTCTGGTAACTTTCCCAAAATTCCCAGGTTTTCCAGAAATCCTGCTTGGAAGATTCCCGGACTCAGGAGGGGAATAAGCAGGAAATCCTGTCACGCTCATTGAGGAACGGGTCAGACCAAGCTGCAGCGTGGTATGCGAACATGTTTATTAAAACTGGATAAACACTGACAAAACAACAAAAGGCAACGAAACGTGACGTCGGAAGGCTATACACTAACAAGCCAAACACACCGAAACACAAACAAGATCCCACAACCCAGGCAGGAAAACTGGCTGCCTAAGTATGATCCCCAATCAGAGACAACGAGCGACAGCTGCTTCTGATTGGGAATCACACCCGGCCAAACGTAGAAATAGAAACCTAGATCTAAACATAGATCTACAACAACATCGAACTAAACATGCACACCCTGACCAAACTAACTAGAGTTCTATAGGTCAGGGCGTGACAGTACCCCCCACCAAAGTGCGGACTCCGGCCGCACAAACCTGACTTAACAGGGGAGGGTCCGGGTGGGCTTCCAGCCTCGGTGACGGCTCCGGCTCCAGGCGTGACGTCTTCTCCCTTACTGACTCCACGTTGCACCCCTGGACCGGTCTGGACCTCAACGCGGAGCTTCCCCTCTCTGTCCTCCCACGATGCACCAATCCCTGTCTGGACCCTGGTGTGAGAGACCCCGAACCTAGAGAGGGGCTGACGTCTGGACCCGGAGTGGAGCCGCTGACCGGAGCTGAACCGGATCCCGGTGGAGCGGACTGCTCTAGCTCCGGAGTGGATCCGCTGACCGGAGCTGGACTAGGCAATGGTGGAGCGGACTGCTCTGGCTCTGGAATGGATCAGCTGACCGGAGCTGGACTGGGCACCGGTGGAGCGGACTGCTCTGACTCCGGAGTGGATCCGCTGACCGGAGCTGGATTGGGCACCGGTGGAACAGGCCGGGCCGGACTGGGGACACGCACCACTGGTCTGGTGCGAGGAGCAGGAACAGGCCGTACCGGACTGGGAACACGCACCACTGGCTTGGTGCGAGGTGCAGGCACGGGCTGTACTGGCCTGGGAACACGCACCACTGGCTTGGTGCGGGGAGCAGGTACGGGGCGTACCGGGCTGGCGACACGCACCACTGGTTTGGTGCGAGGAGCAGGGATGGGCCGTACTGGACTGGGAACACGCACCACTGGCTTGGTGCGGGGAGCAGGTACGGGGTGTACCGGGCTGGCGACACGCACCACTGGTTTGGTGCGAGGAGCAGGGACGGGCCGTACTGGACTGGGAACATGCACCACTGGCTTGGTGCGGGGAGCAGGTACGGGGCGTACCGGGCTGGGAACCGGCGCTGGAGGTCTACGACTGTACCAGTCCTTTACTCTCCGCGCCCAATCCTCCTCCAGTGAGGACTACTCCGGGAGCCCCCACGAGTTAGGGAACAGAAACTCATCGTCGTCGTCATCCTCCGACTCCTCAGTATAAAACAGTTCCATTCCCATGGTCGTAGGGACTCAAACTGGAAACCCACCGGGTGCAGTGGTCGGGGTTCTTCTCTCTCGCTCCCCGACCACCCCTTTAGCCCCCCCCCCCCCAAAAAAAAAATATTGGGGCTGCCTCTCGGGCTTCCTCCTCGGCCGGCGCCGTCGGTGTCGCCGTTGCTCCTTCCTCTGTCTGTTCCCAAGGACGGCGATCTATCCCAGCCTGGATCTCCTCCCATGTCCTAGATCCCTTACCATCCAGGATGTCCAGGATGTCTGCTCCTGGCCACGCTGCTTGGTCCTCGTTTGGTGGGATCTTCTGTCACGCTCGTTGAGGAACGGGTCAGACCAAGCTGCAGCGTGGTATGCGAACATGTTTATTAAACTGGATAAACACTGACAAAACAACAAAAGGCAACGAAACGTGACGTCGGAAGGCTATACACTAACAAGCCAAACACACCGAAACACAAACAAGATCCCACAACCCAGGCAGGAAAACTGGCTGCCTAAGTATGAACCCCAATCAGAGACAACGAGCGACAGCTGCTTCTGATTGGGAATCACACCCGGCCAAACGTAGAAATAGAAATCTGGATCTAAACATAGATCTACAACAACATCGAACTAAACATGCACACCCTGACCAAACTAACTAGAGTTCTATAGGTCAGGGCGTGACAAATCCTAAAGCCTCCAACCAGGATTTCTGGAAAGCCTGGGAATTTTGGGAAAGTTACCAGAATTTTCCAACCCTACTCAGCACTAGGAAAGAACACTCTCAATGTTATAGTATGGAATACTATTAACTCTTATGGAATACTCTTAACATTTCCCTTACACCAACAGAGGATGTTTCCATCAGTATTTCAGTGTCCAACTGCCAGATTCAAGAGAACGTGGTAAGTAGGATTTGCTCTCACATAATTTGAAAGACTTTGGGTATATTTGTATTTTTTTGTGAGTATAATATTGCGTTAATAATATTATTATTTTGCAGTAATAATATATGTAATATTATATATAATATTGCGATAATAATATATTGCGGTTCATGTCTGCTCCTCTTGCATGGTTAGGTTATTTGCAGGCATTTCTTTAGACAATAGACATAGACAAAAGACAGTAGACAACTTAACATTCCACATGACAGTGGCTGGTACTTAATGCCCAACCTTCAACATAAATAAAAAAGCTGAATGCATGGTTTGATTTCTGAGGTGAGATCATCCTCTAAGTAGCTCAAATGGATATTATTTTGATTACCCACTCAGCCAAGCAGTTGCCATAGCTACTCTTGATAATTAGTCACAGTACCACTGGTTATAATTATATTTCTGGGCAACTCTTCCAGTCGTGTATGAGATTAGTGGTTATTAAGTTGTCATGTGAGAAGAGATAAAAATGGTTGTAGACAAAACAAAAACAAAATATTTGTGACAGTATACACTTGAAGCTTTCATTTAAACCCATTTACTGGATTTTTACACCTACAGGATATCAGCTCAGTGTATCAGATATTCCCGGATGAAGTCCTTGGATCGGGCCAATTTGGGATAGTTTATGGAGGTGATGCATTTGTACCACCTTGTCACACTGATAACCTGCAAAAAAGGTGTTAACTTGATTGCATGAGGGACACAGCCTTGATATCAATTCTCTCCTGATCTCATGCCAGCAAAATATTTGCATGACCAAGGAGGTGTTTATTGTATTGGGAAATTACAAATACAGTACATTGTTAAAAATGGCTAGTACATTGTTAAAAGTGGTTAATCAGATCAATTTGAATCTTTTAAAAAAGTATTTGAGATAATCATTCATTCTGAGAAGTAACACCTGTATAAACCTGTAACCTGCCTTTGATTTCTCCATAATATAATGTCTCCATACTACAGGAAAGCACAGAAAAACTGGCCGGGATGTAGCAATTAAGATCATCGACAAGTTACGCTTCCCCACCAAGCAGGAGAGCCAGCTACGCAATGAGGTCGCCATCCTTCAGGTAAACACACACCAGCACGCATGGCCCTGTGTGTGCTTATGAAACGCATCATATTATAACCTTTTTCTCAGATGTTGCCAGACACACATTATGATGAACACATGAGAAAAAAATGACAGAGCTAAAGACAAAAATAGAGAGTCTCTTGATATTGTGTCAGTAGGTAGGTAAATAATGAGGTTATTATCCTGACAACACAGTGAGTGTTTGAAGAGCCTGTCGAGCACTCTGCCTGCTTCCTTTAAAAGGCTCCTGTGTTTCTGTTTTTACTTCCTAGAACCTGCACCACCCTGGGGTAGTGAACCTGGAGTGCATGTTTGAGACGCCGGAGCGCGTCTTCGTTGTCATGGAGAAGCTCCACGGAGACATGCTGGAGATGATCCTGTCCAGTGAGAAGGGGAGGCTGCCTGAACGCATCACCAAGTTCTTCGTCTCACAGGTAACCCTGGCTGACAAGCGTTGTCGCTAGCAGACAATGGACTGACGTGCCGTAGCAGTGCCACACACCTGCTTTTACAGATGCTGTGACACTCACATACTGTATACTGTATACAAACACAGTCAGTGAACTAAGTGGTTTACGGGCATGCTTATGTATTTTTCTGATAATGTCATAATATCTGTTTAATCATGTGTTGTTGCACTTTTAACTATGATATGCAATGTATTTATTTATTGCAAGTAGCTTTTTGCTGTAGTCAAATGACCTAGTGGCCTCATGGATGGAATGTTATTAATATTTTTCATAATTTCGTAATTTATAAACATTTATTTATATTTTTATGCAGAACACTGATATAGCCCACTGCAGTAATGTTTGACAGTATATAAATGCAAATGACCAGATTATATTACATTTTTGAATCATCCCTAATTAAAGTAATCATTCACTGTGTACAAATCATAATTTTCACAAATTTTCAGATTCTTCAGGCTCTTCGTCATCTCCACTTCAAGAACATCGTCCACTGTGACCTCAAACCAGAGAACGTCTTACTGGCGTCTGCAGACGCTTTTCCACAAGTAAGAAAACCTCCAGTTCAGCTTCCAAACAAGCCAAAACAGAAACATCAATTTCACAGACATAAACAGACATTCATCTATCAGTCTACTCTAAGATAATGTGGATGATTATGGCAACTGCACGCTCAGTGTCTCTACAATGTTCTATGTCTCTTGATTTTAATTATACACTCCCAATCATTGATACACGGCCTTTCTCTCCATAGCCATAGCCCTGTACTGCTCTGTACTGTACTATGAGTCACTGTTTTAGGCATGGCCAGGCATCGGATGGGTGTTAAACAAATTACATTTGTGTTATTTACAACAAATATTTTCTGAACGGGAAGAAGGAGAGTCTGTTGTTATATATCTGTTTTTCCTTTCCCAAAATATGCTCTGGCAACATCACTGGCGTCATTATAGTGCTGAGAACTAACGTCCTCTGCAGTCTTGCCAAAGTCTATTTTGGTAACATTCTGTAGCTACAGTAAATCGTCTGTAGACCATATCATGTCCAGATCGAACAGACAGTGTGATAACGTTAACTGGCCTTTTGCGTAATCCGTGCCATGTCTGTGGAACCAACTGTTTGGATGGAGAACATACAGGATGTTATGAATTAGCTTTCTCTAACAAGTCTTCGTCCAGTTACTCTAGTATGGAACCCTCGATTACCTACACGCTTTCTCATGTTCAAGTGAATACGAGACTTGGAACTATGGCAGTGTAAAATTCACTAGTGTGAGATTGTGTTGTAGCCGACTGTCAAACATGGACGTGTCTCAAACGTCACTGATATTCCCAACATAGTGGGGAATCTAGTGTAATTTGAGACACACCCTATCTGTGTCTCAGGTGAAGCTGTGCGACTTTGGCTTTGCCCGCATCATTGGAGAGAAGTCTTTCCGTCGGTCAGTGGTGGGCACTCCGGCCTACCTGGCCCCGGAGGTTCTGAGGAATAAGGGCTACAACCGCTCCCTGGACATGTGGTCTGTGGGGGTCATCATCTACGTCAGCCTCAGCGGCACCTTCCCCTTCAACGAGGACGAGGACATTCACGACCAAATCCAGAACGCTGCCTTCATGTACCCACCCAACCCCTGGAAGAAGGTGTCCCAGGAAGGTGGGTGTCTGTCGAGCAGCAATGAGTCATGCATTACTGTGATAACTGTATTACTTTAAAATAACATTTTATATAGTTGTGTTGGAATGATACTGAAAATCAGACTGAATAGGCTCTTCCTGAGTCTCTGTTGGACTTTGTAACCATATAGTGAATGTTTGCTACACAGTCAGAATGCCTTTATGATAATCTGACTTACATTTGCCCAGTAGCGGTGCGTGGGCAAAATCACTGGGGAACCCAAGCCAGAAAGAAAAGCCATATTACAACCTATGTGTTGTGATAATTGCGTTGTTTGCTCTATAACCTGTTAGTTCATATGCCTTGCCACCGTGATATACAGTGAGGGAAAAAAGTATTTGATCCCCTGCTGATTTTGTACGTTTGCCCACTGACAAAGACATATTCAGTCTATAATTTTAATGGTAGGTTTATTTGAACAGTGAGAGACAGAATAACAACAACAAAATCCAGAAAAACGCATGTCAAAAATCTTATAAATGTATTTGCATTTTAATGAGGGAAATAAGTATTTGACCCCCTCTCAATCAGAAAGATTTCTGCCTCCCAGGTGTCTTTTATACAGGTAACGAGCTGAGATTAGGAGCACACTCTTAAAGGGAGTGCTCCTAATCTCAGCTTGTTACCTGTATAAAATACACCTGTCCACAGAAGCAATCAATCAATCAGATTCCAAACTCTCCACGATGGCCAAGACCAAAGAGCTCTCCAAGGATCTCAGGGACAAGATTGTAAACCTACACAAGGCTGTAATGGGCTACAAGACCATCGCCAAGAAGCTCCATGCAAGATCTCACCTCGTGGAGTTGCAATGATCATGAGAACGGTGAGGAATCAGCCCAGAACTACACGGGAGGATCTTGCCAATGATCTCAAGGCAGCTGGGACCAAAGTCACCAAGAAAACAATTGGTAACACACTACGCCGTGAAGGACTGAAATCCTGCAGCGCCCGCAAGGTCCCCCTGCTCAAGAAAGCACATATACAGGCCCGTCTGAAGTTTGCCAATGAACATCTGAATGATTCAGAGGAAAACTGGGTGAAAGTGTTGTGGTCAGATGAGACCAAAATGGAGCTCTTTGGCATCAACTCAACTTGCTGTGTTTGGAGGAGGAGGAATGCTGCCTATGACCCCAAGAACACCATCCCCACCATCAAACATGGAGGTGGAAACATTATGCTTTGGGGGTGTTTTTCTGCTAAGGGGACAGGACAACTTCACCGCATCAAAGGGACGAGGACGGGGCCATGTATCGTCAAATCTTGTGTGAGAACCTCCTTCCCTCAGCCAGGGCATTGAAAATGGGCCGTGGATGGGTATTCCAGCATGACAATGACCCAAAACACACGGCCAAGGCAACAAAGGAGTGGCTCAAGAAGAAGCACATTAAGGTCCTGGAGTGGCCTAGCCAGTCTCCAGACCTTAATCCCATAGAAAATCTGTGGAGGGAGCTGAAGGTTCGAGTTGCCAAACGTCAGCCTCGAAACCTTAATGACTTGGAGAAGATCTGCAAAGAGGAGTGGGACAAAATCCCTCCTGAGATGTGTGCAAACCTGGTGGCCAACTACAAGAAACGTCTGACCTCTGTGATTGCCAACAAGGGTTTTGCCACCAAGTACTAAGTCATGTTTTGCAGAGGGGTCAAATACTTATTTCCCTCATTAAAATGCAAATCAATTTATAACATTTTTGACATGCATTTTTCTGGATTTTTTTGTTGTTATTCTGTCTCTCACTGTTCAAATAAACCTACCATTAAAACTATAGACTGATCATGTGTTTGTCAGTGGGCAAACGTACAAAATCAGCAGGGGATCAAATACTTTTTTCCTTCACTGTATATGGGCCTAAAGGCCAATACAATAAGAAGACAGTGGCAGAATAAATTAAACCACACATTTGTTTCATCACAAAACCGGAGAGAAACCTCTGTTCGGTGAAGTCCACAAAACAAACTGCATGTAACAAATAGTTACATGACCTACAGCATGGTCAAGCAAGTTAATGTTTCCGACATTTTCGGACTACTAAAAAACGATTGATTTAGAACCACAGAGAGTTACCGCAAGTCACAAAGAAAACAGGAGCTGCCTCCACTATTCCAGCACCATTTTAACTTCAACATTTCAACATCATCAAATCACCTATGCTTAGTCTAATACAGTGACAACTAAAAGATACCAAAAACAATTTAGTCCAATCAATGTAAGCTAAATATGGTGTGGCTGTAAATGGTTCAGATTTGTGTGTATGTGTGTGTGTGCGTTCGTGCAAGTAGAAACAACATGTTGACTCACCCTAGAGAAATGCCAATGCCATCCTCCTCTCTTTCATGTTGACGAAACGATCTATGACTCTGACATACAGTACACGCTTTTACCTGGCTAAAATTCTTGCTTGCTAGCCTTTCATGGGCAATGTTAGCTAGTTAACATTAGCTTTCCACATCTAGGTACATATTGAACTTCCATCCTCTCAGTCCAGGGGCACATTGTATGAATTTATGGTTGGATCAGAATCGGCGTTATAATCATTGGCCAGTACGGAAAATTAAGTAAAACCACAAGTCCAAATCCCTATCTCCATCCATGGCTAATTTAATAAAGGGCCAATTTTAGCTAGCTATCTAGCCACCGGAGGACAACAACACAACGAGAGGCAACAATTTAAGTTGTTTCTGTCAATGACGTATTTCTCTTGATGCGATGTGATAGGAGTGAAGCCAAATCCAAACTGGCTTCCCTTGACACTTTTATTGGTGCGCCATGACCATTCACTGTTGAGCTCACTCAGCTTCCCTTGATACTTTTTTATCAAGGGAGGCCAAATGCTCGCTGGCTTCCCTTGCATTCAATGGTACGGGTGGCAACAATGTCATACTCTTTATGACCAGACAGCATCAGATAGATGGCCTACACATGCAGAGACAGAGGGGCGCTGTTTCGCTCACTCTGATGCTTTCTCCGGTGAAATAAGTTCAGCTTGCGAATTGAAGGAAAATTATGAAACACAGAGAGATGAAAGATACATTATTTTTTCTTTTTTTCTTGGTAATTTTTTTTGGCAAGCCTGGCTTCCCTTGGCATCCATGAATACACTCCATGCATTTACCAGGTCAGTGAGTCAGTATTATGGTTATCTGAGGGAGTCTGCAGATTTTTTAGCATTGAATCGTGTTAGGGCCTGTCTGGCCTGCATAGGAACCTCTCTTATCACAACTTTGCTCTCACCTCTAGTGCTCCATGGCTCACAAAACCACTATGAAAGCCTACAACACATATCCTGGCCCCAACAACTATGCTGCTATTGAATTGAGCGGATGGCATGCGTCATTGTCCGAGAGATGGAAAGAGAAAGAAAGAAAGTCTGTGTGTGTGAGAGAGATAAAGTGTGTGAGAGAGAGAGAGAGATAAAGTGTGTGTGTGTGAGAGAGAGAGAGAGAGAGAGAGAGAGAGAGAGAGAGAGAGAGAGAGAGAGAGAGAGAGAGAGAGAGAGAGAGAGAGAGAGAGAGAGAGAGAGAGAGAGAGAGAACCAATTCTTGTTGCAGCCTATTCATGTGCATAATGCCAAGCGATCCCTGGTACTATAGAGGAGTGGCCTAAAGGTCAAGAATCCCAACTGGGACTCAGAGAACCATGACCCCTGAAATAATCTTAACATGATGTTGGCTTTGCTCATTAGCCCTTGCATGGCTCTGAAAGCGGCCTGCGCCAAATCCTCTAGGTTTCCCACCATGAGTTATCCTCTGACGGCCTGCTTTGTTGTTCCAGCAATTGACCTCATTAATAACTTGCTGCAAGTCAAGATGAGGAAGCGCTACAGCGTGGACAAGTCGCTCAGCCATGCCTGGCTACAGGTAAGCCTTACTCTGGACTAAACTAGATATTTAACAGAAATCATTACAGATATAGAAACAAGTCTCTCAGCCATCCCTGGCTACAAGTAAGCTCTCCATACTGCATATATCACAAATTAGGAAGAAAAGTTAGTACATTTTGGCCCTGTCTTTCAGCCATCCCTGACTACAGGTAAGCTACCCTTCCATAGCTGTGGGAAGTAGGGGTGCTGAGTGCTGCAGCACCCAATGAAAAATCACAATAAAAAAAATATATTAATAAAAAAATATATTTTCTAAAAAATATATTTATTCACAAAAGTAGTGCACTGGGCCTTTACTAATATAATCGGACCGATATATAGACCACAGTAGGTTGGTGGGACCTTAATTGGGGAGGACGGGCTCGTGGTAATGGCTGAAGCGGAATGAGTTGAATGGTATCAAATACATCAAACATATGGTTGCCATATGTTTGATGAAATTCTATTTTCTCCGTTTCAGCCATTATTATGAGCCGTCCTCCCCTTAGCAGCCTCCACTGATATAGACATCTGTAGTGCGGGCAAACATTATTTTTTCTGCATCTCCACTTAGTTGTATATTAAGAACAGTATCTTGCAGGATTCAATAGTTAATATTGTAAGAGTTGTTGCCCTATCCCATTCTCTGCGGTTGTCATTCTAATGGGATCCAGAAGGAACAAAACCCTGTCCTTAAACATTTACATCAAAAGGTACAAAGTTATGGGCAAAGATACAAAACATCCACATCAAATTAAATAGTTTTCTTGATCAAATAACATGGAAAACAACCGCTTTTTGTACAATATTAATTTACCATCCTTACATTTTACAGACGCTCTTATCCAGAGCGACTTACAGTTAGTGAGTGCATACATTATTATAATTATTTTTATTTTTTCATACTGGCCCCCCGTGGGAATCTAACCCACAACCCTGGCGTTGCAAACGCCATGCTCTACCAACTGAGCTACATCCCTGCCGGCCATTCCCTCCCCTACCCTGGACGACGCTGGGCCAATTGCGTGCCGCCCCATGGGTCTCCCGGTCGCGGCCGGCTATGACAGAGCCTGGATTCGAACCAGGATCTCTAGTGGCACAGCTAGCACTGCGATGCAGTGCCTTAGACCACTGCGCCACTTCATGTAAATGTAGTTACTGTTTTGTACATAGGCTGGTTATCTAGGTTTGTACCTATAGATTTTCCATCACAATGAAAAAAAAACAATGCACAATACAGTAATTGAGTACATTGAGACATCAAGTGGTTTGTGATGATGTGGTTCAGTTGGTAGAGCATGGCGCTTGCAATGCTAGGATTGTGGGTTTGATTCCCACAGGGGACCAGTATGAAAATGTGTGCACTCACTAAGTTGCTCTCTGTTGTCCCCTGTAGCTCAATTGGTAGAGCATGGCGCTTGCAACGCCAGGGTTGTGGGTTCGTTTCCCACAGGAGGCCAGTATGAAAATGTATGCACTCACTAACTGTAAGTCGCTCTGGATAAGAGCATCTGCTAAATGACTAAAATGTAAAAATGGATAAGAGTGTCTACTAAAATGGAAAAGGAATGAATAGACAATATCAGTTTTCACATAGAAATAAGTTGCATTTGCAAAGTATTTCAAGAAACTGGAAAACATAAATCAAGCAAGTATTGTTATATTCCACAAGTATTATCAGATTAACTGTTTTGTACAGATAATAATCAGACTCATGTTACAAATGCTGGTAAACACTCAAATACATTTAGTTTTGTTTTAAACAGCATGGGCAAAATAAAATCCGTATTCCCCTTCATCTTTAAATTCGAGATTTAACAGACAACGTAACAGATAAAAAATACTGTACAAATCACAAAGGAGTAAGAAGAGTTATTGTATTTGGACAAGTTTGTCAGCCATCCATGGCTACAGTAAGTCTCTCGGACACCCCTGGCTACAGTAAGTCTCTCGGACACCCCTGGCTACAGTAAGTCTCTCGGACACCCCTGGCTACAGTAAGTCTCTCGGACACCCCTGGCTACAGTAAGTCTCTCGGACACCCCTGGCTACAGGTAAGTCTCTCGGACACCCCTGGCTAGAGTAAGTCTCTCGGACACCCCTGGCTACAGTAAGTCTCTCGGACACCCCTGGCTACAGGTAAGTCTCTCGGACACCCCTGGCTACAGTAAGTCTCTCGGACACCCCTGGCTACAGTAAGTCTCTCGGACACCCCTGGCTACAGGTAAGTCTCTTGGACACCCCTGGCTACAGTAAGTCTCTCGGACACCCCTGGCTACAGGTAAGCCCTACAGAAAGAGAGATGAGAGAAATTAGTTTGTAATCCAACAGCAGGAAAAAGTCAAAATTATTATTTTTGAAACTATCACTAGAAAACAATTGAAACTGTAGGCTAATGCTAACTACTGTGCTCCTGCTAATGATGTCCCTCTCAGGACTATCAAATGTGGCTGGACCTGCGTGGCCTAGAATGGAAGATGCATGAGCGCTACATCACACACGAGAGCGATGACACCCGCTGGGAACGCCACGCTGAGCAGCACGGCCTGACGTACCCCGCCCACCTGGTCAACCCGCACGCCGATGTCAGCGAGGGGGTGGAGCCTGACCCCGAGTCGGAGGAGGCGGACACCATGGTGGCCCTCAGCGACAGAGTCAGCGTGATGTGAATTACTGTAAACGCAGGGCTTCTGCCCCCTTAAGAGTCAGCGTGCTGTAGTACTGAACACTGCTGCCTCTGCACCCTTAAGATCCGTCTCACTCCCTCCACAACACAACACACCACAGCACAACGGACTGACTGACTGATCCCTCTACTCCCAGCCAGGCACTAGGGGCTCGATATTCAAACCCTGCCTTCAAACTAACTGCCTAACTTACAAAGAATCCCATTTCTAATAGTCTGTATATGATTCAACCAGGCGTATTCCCTACCTGCCTAATGAAAGAGAATCTAATTTCTAATACTGTAAAACTCTTGGTGTGAGGGATCATCCAGGTGTACTGTACGTTAAGTCAACAGCAGCAACCAATCCCCCCCAAAAAGCCAGCAGAATGATTTAGTCAAAACCAAAATGAGATGTGTTTCACTGTGATTGGGTGCAACCCAACGAAACAGCTCAGGACTAACCTCAGTGGTACTCAGAGTGAGAACGGATATTATTATTATTACTATTACTTAAGTTTTATTTCACTCTTGAATGTACCTTTATATGATGACATGATGAGAATTCACATAAAACCAGTATAGCTGGAATGGTAGAGAGAGAGCGAGAGAGAGAGAGAGAGAGAGAGAGAGAGAGAGAGAGAGAGAGAGAGAGAGAGAGAGAGAGAGAGAGAGAGAGAGAGAGAGAGAGAGAGAGAAAGAAAAACAAAATCCTGAGGCCTGGATACAGAGTAACAGTGAATGTAGAATACCTGTAAGCATTTGTTCTCATCAAGAGCTAGCTGCTTTTCTAGTCTATAGTGTTGAAACGTGTTCATGATGTCATGCTGAATGTTGCATATGTGGCTACTGTACAGTATGTTTGTGCTCTTTGCGCAATTGCAACCAGCATTATTGTCTGCAGGGAATAAATTATTTTCTCTGGCTACACATTTAAATAAATATATTTCAAAGCTGATATGTAAGTGTTTACTACCATGGATTTATTACATTATTTGTGAGTTTGCTTTACATTTACACCCCGATGCCTTGCCTAATGCCTTATATTTTGACCTACATTTGAGTACACTGGCCACAGGACTTAAGAACACATGTTTACAAATTGCAAGTTATTTTAAACATGGCACCCATACTCATTCTGCAGCTTCATTCATAGTTTAGGGGGACTGCATGAATAATGAGCATGGAGAATCAGGGAGAAAGATGAGGGAAAAAGAGCCCACCATTCCCGAAACTGGGAGAAGAAAGTCAAGCCAAAGGTGAGACAAAACCATATGTACATTGGCTGAATGGCACTAATGTGAGAGAGAAACTATTATTCACTTAGAGATTAATGTTGAGATTACATTTATATGATTGAGAGGTGGTTGAGTCGGGTGGTTGATTTGGTTTATTATAGGTATGAAGGCCTAAGTAGGTTGGGTGATTCATTCGGGGGACTGATTCATAATCAATTTCATTTACATTTACAATTTCCAGAGCAATACGTTTTATTTGTGTATTATTGAAGAGATAAGTTATCCGTTTTCATACTTTGGAGACACGAAGGCAAAGAACACTTATGCTGGTTTATACTGGCACATTGGAAAGTTACGCGCACTGTTGAATATACAACAATTACTATTCTACCATAAGATGGCGCTCAATACAAAATGTTTTCCGTGTTAGTCAATGGATCAGGGTCCATGTATACCTACTTCTGTGTTTAGTTGGGCACCAAGGGGCCACAAGAAAAACAAACACAATTAAGAAATACGGTAAATGAAAACATGCATTCCATGCAAGACAAAAACATGAATATTATAAATGACCAGACTTGTGACGGAGTCCCTGGTTTGGTACCATATCATAGGCCTATTGTAGGCTATAGGTCTACTTTCGTAGGCAACCGCAAACAAATAAGAGCAGAAGTTATTGCTTCAAGTAAAAATCTTATTTAACTATTAGGACTAACTCAACAAGTTCAAAGTGCATCCTTCCAGAAATACTACCCTACTGTACCTACCATAAACTTAAATTACCAAATTAATTTCTTAAAAGTATTTTACTGAGCAGATAGAACCAGCTCAATTCTTTTTCTCTATCTCATATTTTCTGTTGAACATAAACGAATGCAGTATGCAATAGTGTGCAATTATAGGCATAATTGTCAAAATAGTGGACGAGGGTTCACACTTTGCCTTCTTTGAAAGCTGTAGATGTAGAATTAGATTAGATCCACAATTTGGTGAAATCAAGATTACTTACCCATGTATGGCATATCGAAAGAGAAAAATGCCGCAGAGAAGCCATCTCCTCTATAAGGTTTGCTTTTTGAATGCATTAATAACTAGGACAATTGACTTATTGCAAACATTATTACAAACCTATCACAAATAGCAAACTGTAACCATATTCGATAAGAACCCATGAAGAGTCAGCAATACATTTTTGGAAAGACAGGATATTCACTTGTTATGGCTGGCTATAGGCTATACTCTACTTTGGGTGTGCCTACACAATTCTTCGAGTATAACAATAATGCAACGAAAATTACAGTTCAGTCTCCCGAGGAGTTGATTAATTAAGCGACGAAATTCGAGACCCCGGTCATTACAGATCTTCCGACGCTTGAAATAAGCAACAAACTTAGCACAATTGTAATTATTATTGTTCTTATTAGCGATTGTATTACCATTAGCTTATTGTTATTATTACTTAGACATTTAACTGATTGTATTATTGATATTAATTGATAATTAATTATTATTAGGCCTACATTATTATTAACAATGTTATTTTTGTTGCTGTTATTATAAAATCACTATTATTGTTATTTAAATAGGCTATCATAATCTTCATACCATTCTTTTCAAATAAGATTTACTAATACATAAAAATTACATTAAACATTATAACATGAGATATTCTACAAATAAACAAGATTTATAATCTTTCTAAACAAATAATAATTCCACCAAAAGGAAAACATTTAGTACTTCTGTTAGACAACAAGAACGAAAACAGACAAATAGCTTACTCCTACTCCACCATATTCCATGTTTGCATACAGAAAACAACACAGAAGAATACGCTGAGTGCATAAAGTAAATTCATGCAGCCACAAAGTCATTTTAAATGTGGGATTGTTATAATAAAAAGTCAATTTTCAAGTCGAGGGCATGTCCATTTTGAGAACATAGCCTAGACCAAACGAGACTTCTTCATGCAGGCTACACTACACTAGTATGTGGTCTTTCCCTCGCTGCACCGTTTAGTGGTGGCTTGTATTCCTCTGATATTGATTTTGTGTCAGGACTGTTTTCCTTTCCAGGTTGCCCCCAAAGGATCATTTGAAAATAGTTTCTTAACTTTGAATATAAAATGCTTGGTGACCATTAATGCGTCCTTTGGTGTTTATTTGACACATCATCACAAGTACATTTATAGATCAGTGTTGGTTGCCCATGAGCGCCGTACAATAGCCGCGGAGGATCACTGATCCCATGTGAACAGAGCGAATCCATTAGCCCGCGGAAATAGCGTGAGGCTGAGTGGATGGCAGTTCGCTGTCTGAAGAATGTACACCTGCAGTTATACTCTGCCATCCGTCACTCTGCAACTCCAAACACATTCTTTACAACAACCGTGGTTGCACCGGTCAGTGAGCGACGACAGCAGGTGACAACTTTTCAAGCATAACTTATAAACAGGCCTTCAACACACACATTGCCTATACATAACACTGAGTTTTAAATTACAGCCCTCTTTAAATAGCCCACAGAAAAACATAGGCCTACATTTATTTCCGCATAATAAGTATTTTCATATTCTTTCTTTTCGTTTGTAATTCTGTCCACAACTTGCACTCTCTTTTAGTTATTATGAGACCTCATCCTTATAAAACTTAATTTCCTGCACATGACAATATTTGATAGGGTCTTCATAGACAATACACTCATTGCCAATATATTGGGACGCCAAAAATTATTTTGCACATTTTAGTCTGTTTGAATTTGAAATCACAATATGACAGCACCTATTCCTGCATGGAACATTCCACTTTTTTTGTTGTCTGCAGAAGAGGAAATATATTTTAATATTCGTTTCACAAATGAAATTTACTTGTCCAATGAATAGGCCATATAGTGTTAGAGGTTGCTAGGTCATGCACGAGGACAAGTGGAATGAATAAAAGATAGATCACATCTAAAGTATAAAAACATTGGGTTCCAACTGAAACCAGGAATAGCTCATCTAAAGAGCATGACATACAGAGAAATTGAATGAATAACCTTACAAATCACACTCTCCACCAGTGGTGTTCTCAATCAAAATATATTACATCAATTAAACATTCCGTTCATTCCAATTATTCAGCAGCATCACCTAGAGCAAATGACTCCACCAATGTACCTGAATACAATTACTCACTCACTGCTTGTGTAACTTATGGCCTATCTCTGGAAAAAAAAAGTGCCAAATAGTTTTTAATCTAATAAAGACTAACATTTTCAAAGTACAATTAGTTGGTAGAATTATTCAAACTTAGTAGAATACACAGATGGAATGCCTAATGCCATTAGTTGGAGGTTTGTTAAATGGGGTTGGGTAGGGAGGAGAGGGGGCACACAATCCACAAAAGCACTTTTTTTTAGGCTGAACCTTGCACTCTGCTTCACACCCTCTGAGAAGCCCTTCAGTTGTTGGTGTTGGAGTGCTGAAGCCTTTATTCCCCATCCAGGACAACTGTCCATCCCCACAGCCACGCCTCCAATTGATTGTTGGAGTGCTCCACTCTGTTTAATATTTCAGCAATGTTGCCATCCCCTTAGTCAAAACTTAAACTTTAAAACATATAGTTTTTCCTCTGGATGCCCCCACAGGGAGAAGTTCAAGTTCTACAAATTGGGCTAGCTAAATATTATGATAACCTTTTCCCTTCTAATTTGTAGTGGAGTCTGAACACATGCTAGGATCAACATCAATTACTGTGCAACATTTCAAGTGCATGGTTCATGGACA